GAGAGAGAAATCAGAGGGGAACCCGAGAGCGAGGAGCAGAGCGAGGGAACCGCGAGGACGCGGACTGTTGCCGAATGCTGACGCACCGCTAAGCGGGCTTCTGAGTCGGGGCTTAAGTCTCTGGCCATGCCACCCTGAAGGCGCCCAAGCCCGTCGGAACAAGGGCTCAGCACAGAAATCCACACGCCTCGGCCTCCCTGTCCTCCACCTCCTTCTCCCGAGGTCTCCCCGGTCAACAGCTCATGAGAATTTTAGGATCTGTACAAGCCTAGAAGATCCTAAGAGTCCCAAACCAGAAATCACTTGAGCGACATTGCTTTTATGAAGATATAAAAATACGGGTCAGCTATTCGGAGATGTCTGGTAAATCATCTTCATATAGCATCACACCTGAGCATACCATTTAATGCCATTTTTAGGCGAGAGATAAGTGGCTAGAGCCAGTCTCATTACTACTATACTTTTGTACTACAGCAGGAAGGTCAGGCATCAAAAAAACTAAGCTGCAATTCATTTGTTTAATAGATCACTAACAGGAGGCTGGGATGATGAAGGGAAAAAAGATACTCTAAGGCCCAGAGGACATTACCAACCAGATTAAGAAAACATTTGGAGTTACGGTATCTGCCTATGAAAAGTTTGGCAACATCACAGGAAACAATTACCAAGATTTGGAAGGATTCCACAACCTCCCTCCCCCCAAATCTGGAAATGCCCTTGGAAGCTTTTAATTTTAAAAGTTCCCATTTAGAGTGCAAGGAAGTCCAAAAGGGACACGTTGAAAATGGACACATACTGGGTATGTGTGTATGTTTTGACTCAGAATGAGAAATCATTACTCTCCTAGGGATGAGTTCATGTTTTTCCTTCCTAAGAATTTTTTAAACTGTCCATGTAACAGATGTTGGGAAGATGGGGGTTTGACCATTAGTTCTCTGTTAGATTAGCAGTCTCCTATGTTTTTGAAAGTTAAAGAACTAAGGTGTCTTTTAAATTCATACTTGTCTTGGAATACGACTCAAAAATGTATTCACTGGGGCCTTCTGAAATAAAATTCTTATCTTTAAATCTGGCAATTAAAAAAATTTCAGACTCAGCGGGCTCGGTGGCTCAGCCGGTAATCCCGCGCCTTTGGGAGGCTGAGGTGAGTGGATGGCCTGAGCCCGCGGGTTCGAGACCCGCCTGGGCAGCGAGACCTCATCTCTACAATAAATCAAAAAATCAGCCGGGTGTGGTAGCGCGCGCCTGTAATTCCAGCTACTTGGAAGGCTGAGGCGGAAGGATCGCCGGAGGCCAGCAGGTCGAGGCTGCGGTGGCCGGGAGCGGCCACTGCACTCCAGTCTGGGCGACCGAGTGAGACTCCGACTCAAAAAAAAAAAAAATTTCAGACTCAACTGAATATTTTATTAATGACCTTGGGAGTTGTTATAACGAGAACAATGATTATCACTGAGAATATGTACCAGTTACTATGATCTTTAGGAAATAATTAGCACACAGTAATAAACCATTCAGGGTTCTGCTGACTTGGCTAGACAAAAGTGTAGACTGTACAGCACCATTTAATTCTAATAAATCCTAAGGGAACTATCATGGTAAAACAAACAAAAAATTCAATATTTTATTATGTATGTCAAAACTACTATGGGCAGTGATAACTCTCATGTAAGGGTTCCAATTAGAGGAATTAAGAACTACCCTGAAGTATTCCTGGTGTCTACGTAACATTTGGGATCAGACCATTCTCTTCCCTGGCATAGAGATGGAATTTGACAACTGAATATTCATTAAAAGTTAAATGAATATCCAATCTCCACAATTAAAGTTTATATTTATATTTAGGATAGAGAACAACACTTGCTTTTCAAGTTTAGGGAAATTCCCAGTTCACTCTGCTTTGCCGGACTATCTCTGTGTTCTTTCTGTATTTGCCCTGCCTTTGCCTCATTTCTAACTACTCTCCTAACATAGGGATCAAATTTCACTTTCATCTTACTTAAAAATGCTTATGTAAAGACTTCAATCGTGCATAAGAGACTTGCTTCAAAAGAGATGACTGTGGCATGAACAGAAATCTTGGACCAGTTCTAAAGCTCTGATTAGGTTAAGCTCTGATTAGGTAGACTTTGATATTTCCCATGTTGCTTCAACCTAACGTGTCACAAAAATTGGGTCATTTAGGTCACTGGGTTTTTCTGAGCCTTGAATCCACACAGGGCTGCGCTCAGGGTTGGAAAGAAGAGATGTAACCTTATGAGTCAGGCGACACAAGCCAGGCTGCAAAGTGTTTCAGCCCCCAAGAGTCAACGGCCTGTACTCAAACTAGATCCCTTCTCAGCTGACCTTTAAAATAAATATTTGTTTTACAGGATAAACTGACCTCTAAGAACATCTACCTCGAACCAGCATATCTAAGACACTAAAGGCATTCTAGGTACACCTTGAACAAGACAAGCAGCTTACTATCACCTCTATCATTCAGTCACTCGTTTTCAAAAGTTCTAGCCAAAGCAAGAGAATGAAATTGACATAATCACTGAAGAGCAGCCACAATATTGTCACTGTCACATCTGCCTGAAACACTTCAAAGAATCAATGAACAAGCGATTGGAACAAAAAATAAAGTTCAATGAGGTGGCCAGTTACAGCATAAATACATAAACATCAACACCTTTATTCATATCAGCAGCACTCATTGGAGAAGTATATCGAAAAAAATATTTCATCCACAATAGCAACAAAGAGACATAGGAATAAACTCAGTAGAAATGCAGACAGGTAGGTAGACCTATATAAAGACAATTACAAAACTTCCCGGAACATAAGAGATGACTGACTCATTTCTTAGACAAGAGAATTGACTGTCATAAAAGTGTCAGTTCGCTCCAGTTTAATGCATAAATGTAACGAAATTTCAATTCAATAAAGACACTTGGCAGGGTGATTAAAAAACTCTTGTGAAAGAATATATAAATGCACGAAGAAAAACAGTAAAAGGAAACTAGCACTGTCATATATTAAACTGAAATCCAAGGTTTTAATAATTAAGTTAGTGGTACCGGAGCAAGAATAGGCAGATGGTCAACAGAACCTAAATGAAAAAGCCTTGATATAGTTGAAGTATTACACCAGCTGTGTGTCGTGGCTCATTCCTGTAATTCCAGCCTTTTGGGAGGCTGAAGTGGGAGGATCACTCGAGGCCAGGAGTTTGAGATCAGCCTGGGCAACAAGATGAGACCTCATCGTGACCAAAAAAAAAAAAGTTAGCTGGTTGCAGCAGCACATGCCTGTAGTTCCAGCTACTTAAGCTGCAATGAGCAATGATCACACCACCACACTCTGGCCTGGGTGACAGAGTGAGACCCTGTCTCTAAAAAGAAAAGGAAAGAAAACATCAAATGCAGCATGACTTTACATTTTCTGGTGAAAACTTAGGCTTAATTTGTATTTTCTTTAAAATTCCACAAGATGTGAAATATGAATGAGTAATAAACCAGTGGGAGAGAAAAGTTTTTCTCACCGGTAATCAAAGAAGCACAAATTAAAATAATCAGATAACTTGACCCATTTTCAAATTGAGGAGAAAAAGAGACAGGTTGATTGATTTATTTTGGCAACGGTTATTAAAAAACTAAAATAAAAAGTTCTAGTAATTTATCCTAAGGAAACACTTAGATATGTTCAAAGACATTAGTATACAAGGTTGCCCACTACAGTGTTGCTAATAAACAAGAAATGGAAAATAATTCCATCGACTTGAATATTATGCAATCAATAAAACTTGTGCTGTAGACGACAGGGAAAGTCACATATTGTAGAAGGGTCTACAGGAAAAAATTCTAAAATCTGGAGGGACCGATACCAACATAGTGATAATTCTCTCTGTTGAATCAGAAGTCATTTTCTTTTATTTACTCGTATTCTCAAATCTTCTATAAATTTTCAGCACTTCAAACATTGCTTTTATATCATTTCAAAATACTTTTTGATCAGTAAGTTAGGCAGGGGGGATCACCCAACCCTTGAGTCCTAAGTTCAAACAGGAGGCTTCTGCTCGTTTTTCCTTGACATAGAGGATGCCACCGAGGGTCGGCTCCGTGGCTCCGTGGCCATCCGCCACATTTACTCAGCCCTCAGTGGAGTCCCCAGCCCAAAGACAGCGGTGAATACATGTTGAATGGATATACAAACAAAAGATTCAAGGGCATGTGGATTATTTAACTGTTCTAAAGGCCTGTGGCCACATGTGGAGGTAAAAAAAGCTGAGGTGTGAATTTAAGTTTTCACCAGAAAATATGAAGTCACGCAACACTCACCTAAGAGTTTCGTTGTAAATGTCAAGCCAGATCATATTAATATTTTTTAAAGATATGAGCTGTTTCGTGATTTCAAAGAAGAATGGTATAAAAAGCAGTGGGGGTGTTGTTTTGTGATTACAAAACCAGATGAAATTCAACATATTACACTTAGGAGGTTGGCATTCTTTTAAGGTCACTCACTACTCCTCAGTGCTCTAATTTTTAAAGTCTGGGAATCATCAAAAGTGAACTGCATTAAGAGAAACATTCACAAGGTCAAAGATCAGAGGAAGGCAGTTACCTGAAGGCTATATAAAAGACGAGTTAAATTCTGTATAGCTTGTATAATCTGAAAAATAAGATTGTAAGTGTCAAATTCTTGAAAAAGCTTTCATTATCCACAAATAGAGGCTGGTGATAAATTTAAGGTATGTGTAGCTCACCTCTGAATGTGAAGAACCTGGAAAACTTCTATATTCCACCTAAAATACATAAGAACATAAGAAAATGAACAACCACTCTACTTTTGAAAAGCCGCCCCTGCAGTCTTCCAAAGTGAGAGGAAAATCCATTCACTCTCTCTAAACTCCATGACCTCATCTACAGTGACTCAGTTTCCTCCCAGAAATAAAAGCCTATAGAATTAAACCACCACTTGACAACGAGAGTCTCCAGGCAACCTCGGTGTGTGAGATGCATGGCAACTGTTACCCAATCACCCCTGAAAACAGCAAGGGATGACAGGAGGAAGCCCTGTGCACTCTAGGTGACAGCATTTACCGTGTGTGACCCACGCTGAAAATGGAACTCTCTGTGCCCAGGCCGAACCTGTCTCTTGGGCCAGGCCGGCCCCTTGCACTCCGAGGCCAGACATGGAAGTTACAGAACATCATGCCTGGCTTCTAACTCCCTGTCTCAGTGTCTGAGATTCATGGTATCGCAATAGCCAGTGGATGAGACAAAAAGCAGACCCCGAGATTGCCTAAAGGGAGGGCTGCTCCAGACCCCACCACAGTTACCAGTGGCTGCCTCCGCAGGAAAAAAGGACTTTTAGCAGAGGCCGTGGATGAGGGCACAGGAGACCACCTGCTCCTTCAGGATGGAGCCCAGGCCTCATTTTTTTGTCTCTTACACAGCACACACGAAGGGTACATGTGGGGAGTGAGGGGCTTCCAGTCTCTGGAATGGAACACGTTTATTCGTGTCTTGTCTGCCTTCCCTCCGTAGGCAGTGTTCGGTGTTACATCTGCACAACCAAGCCCGATGCCTGGTGAATAATGATGCCCAGCAAACGAATGACTGTCAGTGGACTTCAATGGCACTCCGTTCAGTAAGGACATATCGATCGCCCACTGTAACCTCACACTTGATGTTGTGGGAGATGGTCAGATTCCCTGCCCTCCAAGGGATGCAGTCTGCTGTATGCTGCTTGCTTTCATCTGGGAAGATCTAATTTTAAGCTGTAAAAACCAGTCAGCACAGTCATGTTCTCAGGTAACTTTGGACGTGTTAAATTCAATTAGTTCAGGCTGCAGATGCCATGGTAAGCTAGCCAGACCTCTTCTCCCATACTGCCAATTAGAGAGTTCATCATTAAGCAGCACCTCTGAAACAGAAAGGACAGAGGCTGAAAAAGGAGCTGAACATTAAAGGCATTAGGAACTGGGCCCAATCCTACGGAAGATGATATGGTCTAGGACCATGGTCCTGGAGCGTGTGTTGGAGTTCTTGCTTCTGGTTCTGTGCTTGTCCATCCACCCTCCATTGCTTGTGCAGTAAGAAGACCATGTGGTACACAGTTTTATACTCGATAAAAATGAGAACCATGGAAATCAGTTGTGCTTAGACCCCAAAACCACTAGGTTTGCTACAAGACAGGAAATGTCACCTTATCTTTTTAATGGAGTTGGTCCGCCACCTTGTGGTGCTTGCTTATAACTGCTGCTGGCAATTTACAGAATATTTGGGTTGCAGGTTTACTTTTCAAAAATTCTTTGGGAAATTTGTTCTAACCTTACCTTGTAAAGGAAGCTAATGACCAAATATCTACTATACACTTTTTAAAAGTTTGATTTCAACTGATCCTGCCCTTTATCTCAGTCCACTTCGTTTCTCTAAATGTCTTATGAAGGGCAATATTTTGTAGATAGGTTAATCCAAAGAGGAAGCTGAACACCTAATCTCATTTATCCACCTGTGACTAAACCTGGGGAGAAGACTTTAGGGATAGGAGCCACCACAAGGGTACACATTCAAGATCAAACTGTCACTGACCAACTCACTTTCTTTTCTATTAATATAAAAGCAGTTAGACACTACAAACTCAGACTTAAAAGACTGTACTGAAAAGAATGAAATACAGAATGTTTTAAGAATCAATATGTTAGAAAGTAGAGTAAGTCAGAAGTGGAGTAAAATACTGCATTCCTACACTCACTTTAACTTGTGAAGTTTAAAAAAGAACTAAGTTACAGCTGTTTTTTTCTTTTTGAGTTGGAGTCTCACTCTGTCACCCAGACTGGAGGGCAGTGGCCACTCCTGGACACCGCAGCCTCGACCTGCTGGGCTCCGGCGATCCTTCCGCCTCAGCCTTCCAAGTAGCCGGAACTACAGGCATTCGCTACCACGCCCGGCTAATTTTTGATTTATTGTAGAGACAAGGTCTCGACAAGACGCCTAGGTGGGTCTTGAACCTGCGAACTCAGGCAATCCACTCGCCTCAGCCTCCCAAAGTGCTGGGATTATAGGCTGAGCCACCGAGACCAGCCTCACAGTTGTCTTTTCTTTGGATTTTAAAAAATCCTCAGACTTGGTTTCTCAGTTATATGCAGTATATACACAAATACATATAATACAAAAAATACATCGCATCTTTAAGAGAAGGTCTGACATTTGTCATTTTTCCACACTGACATATACCTGGTCATGTACCTAATTCCATTTTAGGTAAAGCTAAAACTCTTCAGCCCCAGGCAATCTGAGGAGGCCGACTAGCCACCTCCCAGGATTATATTTTTATTCCTTCTCTATTTCTGACATCTCAATTTCATGTGAAATTTTATGCATTTAAATCTTAAAGAGAGAGTTACTGCCTCTGCATATAGTAATAAGCCAAAAAAAGGAGTGTCATGGTCCGATTAATTAAAACTCTGCCACAAAAGAAGTAGGTGAGACGTGGTGGTGACAGGAAATTAACTTTGAAAGGACAGACAGGTCAAGGAAGGCGAAAGAAGCGAGACTATTCCAAGGGAAAAAGTGCTTCCGTGATGCCGGCGCCCCGAATGGTTGCCCCAGGCCCCGGATGCCGGGACCCCTCGCGGCCAGAGACTTGCCAACGCCGTGGGTGGGAAGCGAAGGGTTGCAGAGCAGAAAGACCAAAGGTCAAGAGCGCAGACACACAGATACTCGGGAGAGGTTGCAATCTTTTTAATAACTTTTCAATCGCTGCCTTGCTTACACCTACATGACACAGGAAGAGCAAGCACATTTGAAGAAGAAATAAGTTAGAAAGTTTCATAAGAAAATTTAAGTCAATCAAGAACAACTGAGGAAAGCACTTCCATCCCACTCAGTGCCACGGGCGGACCAGGACCCCAGGATATTTTGGTCTACACAGGAGCCGGTGCTGTTTACTAACAAATCGGTTCACAATACCTTCTCCCCTGCATCAGACACCGCCAAGTCGGTGACCACACCCTGGGTTCCGGGATCCACATCCCAACAGCTTCTTCCTTCTCTCCCTTCTGTGACTAGGGCTGGAGGCGCACCATTGAGACAGAAACAAAAAGGACAACGTCAAGCAGCCGTCAGCCGAGCAACTGGGTTCTTCTGCAAACAGCTGACACATATGTTGAAATAAGAAATGTCACAAGAGAATACATGTGGAATATGCTTGTAGGAGGCGTTAAAATAGCTCAGAACAAAGCACACCGTCCCTGCCCACATGGAGCTCACACACTAATAGGTAGCAAACTGACAAGCAGCAGGAATGTTATCTCCCATCTTTTTATTTTTACTTCTTTCTTGCGTTGACGTGTGCATGTATTGTTTGCGGGGTAGACTCTAGTGTTACTTTCGCTTAATTGGAAAAACGCCTCCTGGGGAGGCTGAAATCTCAAACAGTCACTGCAGCACAAAAGCAAGGTGTCTTGGCAGACCTGAGTCTGTAAAAAGGCTCCCTTGTGGCCCAGAGGAGAGCAGCAGATGATAAACAAGGCTTAGAAGGTCGGAGTCCAAAGGCCGGAGGCAGACATCGTTCTAAGAAGGCTGAGACAGCTAATACTTTAAGGCCTCATGGTCATACAAGCGGTCCCTATCTCAGAACGACTTCCTGAAAAATCAGTTTAACAATATGGTTTTCCCCCTGTATTTCTTGCTTGTGCTTTAAAGTCACAAATATTATAAATACTGTGTATTTACCATGAAAACACAGAAACCAGTCCAGAAGTATTTTGAAGCACCAAACAGATTTCACATCCCCCATTAAATATCCACTGGCAGGATTCTATTGCTTTAACCCATGGGAACGCAGTTAAACTGACACCACACCCGCCTTGCCCTGGTTTAAACTAGACTTTTCAAAGCCCTTTCACACAAAGTGCTTCATTGGAATCGTGTCTCTTCAGGACTCTGATGAAATATTCACTCTGTGACATGGTGTGTAATTTTTTTTTTGACTCAGTATCATCTTGAAACTTTATTTCTAATGAAGAAAATAATTTTTTCTGTAAATTAATAAAAATAGCATGTCTTTGAAAAACGCGAGCCCAGTAGGACTCCAAAGGCCTCTTCTAAAGCAAAAAAAGTTTCTGTCTAAACGGAAACTGCTTCAAATGATATCAGCTGCAACCAGGTTCACACTTACTCACTTACAGTGATGGGAGAGTTTACAGAGAATTTTCTGTCACTCAAAAAATGGCTCTACTCTTGGGGGCTATTCCTCGCTCAAGAGACGCCAGAGGCATTAGAAAGAACACGCCGTTCTCGTCCTCGTCCCCAGTTTTCCTCACGGAAATGAGGATGGTCAGATGGCGAAAGAGGCTGAGGACCAGCAGAGCAGATGAAGACAAGGAACCGCACGACGGAGCAGGTTCCCTGTCCCCGTGTTCCATTTTGGGGTGGGGGCAGTGGCGTGAGAGGGTCTCCCGTGGACACAGCTGACTGGAAGAAGATTGTACTCGTCCACCCGAGGAGGTGTATTGAGTACCAGCAATGGAGGGCGTTGCTTGGCCCATAACCTCAGACTGCCATAAGCCCGACCCAGAAGGGCCCGGCTCTCAAGGTCAGTCACAGGAACTGACCCGCTGGGTTACAGACCTTCACTAGGAAAAATCTTTTGCCTTCAACAACTGTAAAAAGGCATCAAACTTTGACAGCCCCCGTTCCAATGCAGCCCGGAACTGAAGAGGTCTTTGGGGTACAGAACCCCCCAATCTGCCCGTCTTCCTCCACTACCAGAATCCCAGTATCAGATGACCCTGTCAAGAGCCTCTCAGTGGTTCTAGCAAATGCCTCGGGTGCCCCTTGGGAACTCGCTCAAGCATGGGAGACGTGTGTGCAGACAGGGTGGGCAGGCCTGGCCGTGAGCTCTGGGCCGCTGTAGGAGCACAGTGGAGCCTCTCAGCTGTCCCCGGGCTGAGGCTGAGAGCCGAGGGTCCCGACGTGTATTTTGAGCTAGAACTTCCTCAGCGGCACCACGAGGTTCTTCTTCTAAAAGAAAATCACCCGGGGCAGTACAACTCCCCTGATGAATCTGGGCTGTGTCGAAATGAAAAACACATGTGCATATTCTGAAAATAGAAAGCCAGGATGAGATAAAGCAGGACTTGAGAGGGGGAAATAATTATTGGTGCTGGTTAAAAAAATGTATATAATTAAAAGGCCATACTGTATCTATATGTCTTGATTAACCACGGGATGCTGTTAAGTTCTAAGACAATTTAATTTTCCAATCTCTAGCTACAAAAGACATTTGATCTAATGCATCTCAGGCATTATAGAAGCAAGGGTTTTACCACTTGTACGTGATGACAAATATACGCTTTATTCTCTTAGAAACCTTCACGGAGTTAAGTACTTTGCTTACAACTACACATGTAACAGTATAATTAGGTTGTAAGAAGTTACTTAAACTAAGTCTCTCTCTACATTCTATTTTTCTGTATTTAAAATATACGGAAAGTGTTTTGGTAAATAAATTCTGACCTGAACTAAAGTGTACAATGACACAGATTAAGAATTTTCTGATACTTCTGCCTTTACCCACACCACCAGATTTCGTGTGTGTGTGTGTGTGTGTGTGTGTGTGTGTGTGTGTGTGTGTGTGTGTGAGAGAGAGAGAGAGAGAGAGAGAGAGAGAGAAAGAGAGAGAGAGAGAGAGAGACAGAGAGAGAGAGACAGAGAGAGAGAGAGAAAAGGGAGTGGGGGAGGTGTGTGTGTATATCTAGTTTTCTGAGTTGCTTTCTCAATTGATACACGTGAGATTAAGTTTCAGGGCTTGCTCTCTAATGGACTGTGCGGACTTATGAAAAAACAAAAAAGTGCAAAATTCTTCCAAAACTGCATTCAAAAAATCGTATCAAAACTGAGGCAGAGTAGGAATCGGGAAGGTACAACACTTGGCTGGGAAACCCAGCAGAACAGCCCACCCACTACTCTTGAGGTCCCTGTCCTTGAAACACCAGTGTCATTATCATATGCAGACAATGCTTACTTTATGGCTAGCATATTTATTCTCAGTCTTTCTCTAATTAAAAAAATACATTAAGTCCCCTTCAAATAGGGGCAGAGTCATTGCCTTCACTTTATGCGGCCACTGTAGGCTCCAGGGACGTGCTCAGGCTCACAGCCAAGGCCTGCATTTTCACTTACAAGCAGTCGGCAGTCCCGGTGCGTCATGGGAACTGAGTGCGTCTGTCAGGACAGATTCTCCACAGCCGTCCTCGGGTGACTGACTTACATCTCCCATCTGTGAGGCCTTCACTGCAACTTGTAGGCTCTCGGCTAAGAATTGGAAAAACAAAAATAAATCTCTAGAGCAAATATATATATATATATAGTTTAATCTAGACCAGGGATTGGAAAGTTGCACTTGGCCTATGCCTGTTTTTATACGGTCCCGGAGCTAAAAATGGCTTTTCTCTTCTTCGAGGGTTGTTAAAACACGTGAGTGTGTGCGTGCATACCTTCGACTCTATCCCAGAGGCTATGTGACCTGCAAAGCCTAAAAACATTTGCCGTCTGACCCTTTATGGAAAAAGTTTGCAGACCTGCAATCTAGACCAATACTTTTAGCATCAGTTTATGATAGAGAATTAACTCAATGACAAAGTCTAAAATCCATCGTATAAAGATATCTCAAATGCAACTTTCAGTACATTAGCATGTGGAAAAACTTTGTGCAATTCATTTTGTTTAAATATAATACCAGACATTAACATTTTAGAACCTATTATCAGAAATACTACCTATTCTTCAAAGGAGTATTTTCCCAAACTTGCCTTTAAAAATACAGATGTCGGCTGGGCACGGTGGCTCAAGCCTGTAATCCCAGCACTTTGGGAGGCCGAGGCGAGGGGATTGCCTGAGACCACGGGTTCAAGAACAGCCTGGGCAACTTGATGAGACCTCCTGTCTACGATAAATCAAAAAATTCTCCAGGCGTGGTAGTGCACACCTGGAGTTCCAGCTACTTGAATGCTGAGGCGGAAGGATCTCCTGAGCCCAGCAGGTTGGCGCTGGGGTGGCCGTGAGCTTGCCACTGCACTCCAGCCTGGGAGACGGAGTGAGACTCCAACTCAAAAGAATAAAATAAATAAATACAGATTTCAAGTGGAGACCAAAGGGAGGCCCAAACTCTACCTGTACAATGACCGCTTGTATACCTAAGACTGAGTTGCACCTCATCTCTTTAAAATAAAATGTAAAACAATAAACAAAATTTTTAAAAAAAGATTCCCAATTTTCACTCTAGACTTTGTGGGCCCAATTCTCTGGAAGAGAAAACAGGATATGCATTTTAAACAAGTACCTGTTCTGGGTGCTATTGGGCACTGGATAACTAATAAGGGACCTCACAGATTGGAGAAGGGAAGGGACAGACACCACTCCTGTACCCATGCCATAAAGTAGCCTGTGATCAGCTCTCAGCTCTCTCCTCGTTATTGGAGCATCAGAGATGCTCCTGCAGCAAGGAGGAATAGGTGAGTTACAGCAGCTAGTAGGACTGGGGAGAAGTTCTTAAAGAGCAGGACCTAGAAGACGGATGGAACTCAAGAGCCAGAGACAGAGGGGGAGAAAGAGGGAAGAAAAGCTTCCCAGCAGAGCAAAGACCTAGGGAGACCACTATTTGAGGTGCACTACTAAGCTGTCTTTTTGTCAGAAGATAACTGCCTAACTCTGCTAAGAATTCCAGGCTGGGCACAGTGGCCCAAGCCTGTAATCCCAGCACTTTGGGAGGCTGAGGCGAGAGGATTGCCTGAGCTCAGGGACTCCAGACCAGTCTGGGGCAACTTGGCGAGCCCTCGTCTCTACAATAAATCAAAAGATAAGCCAGGCGTGGCAGCGCGTGCCTGTGTTCCAGCTACTTGGAAGGCTGAAGGGGGAGGACCACCTGCACTCAGCAGGTCAAGGCTGTGGTGGCCCTGAGCATACCACTCCAGCCTGGGTGATGGAGACTCTGATCCGGGAGAAAAGAAAAAAAAAGAATTCTGGCTACACTCAGGGGGACAGTGAACAATGACTTGGGGTGGATTACCCCAACCTGGCTCACTCAGTACCTCCCCTGTCCACCACAGTGGCCAAGAGAAGGGAAGCAGACAGACTTGCAACCTGGCATTAGTGGGAATTTTAGTTGGGAAGAAAGGTGAAGCCACTGGCTAACACTGGCAGTGGGTGACTAACTAGTCCCTCAAGGCTTTAACCAGGATCACAAGGGGGGGTCACTGGTTTTAGTCCACCTACTTGAAAGCACTTTTGGTTTTATTTCTAAAACATATCTTGAATCTGTCCAATTTTCTTTACTCCCATTGTCAGTAGCCCTGGTCTACACCAGGCCACCAACATCTCTCCTCTCAGCTTCTAAGGCTGCTTTCGAAAGGGTCTCCAGGCACACTCATCTCCTTCCGGTCTCCATTCAGCAGCCATTGTTCTTATAAAGACACAAATAAGATCAAGATAACCCATGATTAAAAGCTTCCTGTGACTTTCCATCATATTTGGAATAACACTCTTTTTTTTTTTTTTTGAGTTAGAGTCTCACTCTGTCGCCTAGGCTGGAGTGCAGTGGCATACTCACAGCCACCCTGGCGTCGACCTGCTGGGCTCAGGCGATCCTTCCGCCTCAGCCTTCCAAGTAACTAGAAATACAGGTGCATGCTACCAGGCCTGGCTAATTTTTGATTTATTGTAGAGACAAGGTCTTGCCAAGCTGTCCAGGCTGGCCTTGAACCCATGGGCTCAGGCGATTCACTTGCCTTGGGCTCCCAAAGTGCTGGGATTATAGGCTGAGCCACCGAGCCCGGCCTCTTTTTTTTTTTTTTAAAGCCATGGCCTACCATGACCTGATCCCAGCCTGCCAGCCCACATCACCTCCACTCGTGGTAGTCTCCCCTGACTGCTACCACACTGGCCAACTTCCGTTCCTGAACATGCCAGGCTCACTGCGGTCTCAGGGCCTTCTCTGCCCACGAATGGCTCTGGGGACACCTGGCTGCTTCTCCTCTCTCAATCCTCGTCTCAAAAAATCCCCTCCTCAGACCTTCACTGACCTCTCTAAAGCAAAGCCTTCACCGCCTCCTCACCCATTCACCCTACTTCTGTGTGACTTTCTGGAGCACAGGGTCGAGGCCCAGTGAGTATCTGAAGAACGGACGCACAAATGATTCCGTCAGGAAGCCCTGCTTCGGACGACCTCTAAACCCACCTCAAGACCTCCCTTTCCTCCAGTTCTCTGTCAAAACTGTTCATCTCTGCCACTGCAGGAAAAGGCAGCCAACAGACAACACAAAACAAGTAAATGTGGCTGGATTCCCAAAAAACTACATTTATGACACAGGCGGTGGGACGTGTGGAGTCTGTCACTCGCCACCCCTCCTTCCGAGCGACGGCATTCCCTGCTACTCCCTCAGTGGTGGCGGTTTCACCTCCCAAGCCTTTCGTCTCTGGTGTCACATCCAGGCCATAGTCCCCGTCCCGCCCTTAAACTCCCTTCTTCCTTGCAGCCCCCGCCCTCAGACCCTACCACTCACTACCCCTCCTGGTGGCCTCCCCCTACAGACCGGCCCCCACCCGCCTGCAATCCCAAAACGACTCGGCACCGAGCACAAGCTCTCCAGTCCTTCCAGGGCGAGCCCAATCAAAATGCTCAGCAGCGCCAGTCCTACACGCTTGGCCCTTCCCCCGCCCTGGCTCCCAGCCCCTGACTTCTTGTCTCTCCTGGCTTTGCCCTCCACCTACTTCCGTGACCCCTTCCCACTGCCGTCACCGACATGCTGCTTCAGTCTGTTCTCCACACAGCGCTCAGAGCTTCCTTCGAACCACAAAGGAAGTCAGTCCTCCACCCAAAACCCTGTAATGCTTCCCACCCCATTCAGGCTGAAATCCCAAGTCCTTCCCTCAATCCATGCAGTTGGGGGCCTAGTTAACTCTGGACACGTCTCCTGCACGGCCCACCCAGCCCTCACTGCATTCTCCCTCACTGTCCTCCCTGCTGTTCCTCCAACAAGCCCGACACTTACCTGCCTTGGGACGTTCGTGTCCACTCTTCCCTCCGTCTGGAACTCTCTCCCTCCAGATGTCACTTGGCTCTCTCACTTCTCACGTGTCTGCTTCCATGTCTTGTGACGGAGGCCCTCCCTGGCTACCCTATCTAAAAATAGCGCTGTCCCCTCCCTCTCCATCTCTCTTTCCTGGCTTACTTGTATTCCTAACACTTGATACAACCTGACAAATCTATTTCTTCATATTTCGCTGTTCCTAGAATGTAAGTTCCAGGAGAGAAAGGACTTTGCCTTGTTCTGCTATACCCTCAGCACCAAGATCACCGTGCATGGCACACGGCAGGTGTTCATAAACGTTTTCTGAATGTGCCAACCCAAATCCTTATCAAAGCAACTCACCTTCTTTCAGGGCTGCTGCCAGTAACGAGGCTGCCTGGGGAGGCTCCCCTGGATCTGGTTTAATGAGGAGGTGGGGCTCTAGGTGGACATCTTCAAATCCACTTAGCTCTCCAAGCTCAGCATAGATATGCAGCTTCTCTTCCAGATACGTGCAAATCTGTTGGTCTTGGCTACTGAGTATTTCTGTAAAATAGTATTTACTATAGGAGGTTGTCAGGAACATGAATACAACTACTGATGTGAAATTCCGAGTTACAAGACGAAGAGGTTGCTCATTTGCAAGCTATATGATCTGAAAGGCAAAGCCCAGGTGGCCGGGTGGGACAGTCCATGGTTCTGGTTCAAATCCCGATTGTTTCACTTCTGCATGTGGCCTCCAGCAAGCGGCTCTCAGCTCCCATTGTCTTTTTGTAAATAAGGTCCCTCTCCCATTCCCCTAATTCCAGAAAACTTGCAAAGCTATTCTTTGTTTACTCAGCCTGTTTTCTATTAAGACTAAACATGAAGCTCAGGAATGAAATTAAGGCGGCTCTGTCCGTGATGAGTGCATACCCACAGGGAAAACAACCCACAGGCCTGAGACTACTCAGGCTTCAGCCAGTTTTGGTCAAAACACCGGTTGATGTTTTTGTTTCTAAACATCCCATGTCTTTGCCCATCTTTTCATATCCCTCAGATTTCAATATGTTACAGCACTCTTAAGGCTCAAAGGAAACTTAACTAGCATCAAATCCAGGAATTCCCCATCCCCGCTGTACCACCAAATCACCTGGAGAGTTTAAAGCCCCAAAACGTCCATCTCATCTGACACACACTCGAATTTAATTGGTGGCAGGTGGGGCCCAGGCACCAGTATGTTCAAAGACCTCCCCAAGTGATTCTGATGTCAAGTGATTCGGATGCCAGAATTGAGAATCACTGAGCTAGTCTAATATCCTTACTTCACAGATCTGGAAACTGAGAACCAGACCTATTGGGATCTCTGTCCAAAGTCAAAGAACTATGGCATCACACTGCTGAGACCTAAAATTAAACCATCAGACAATAATTCCAATTGCACCACCATCTGCACCCTCTACCCACAATTATTGTTTCACATATGTTATGTGCATATTTATATCTATGTTAATCACCAAGATGGAAGGGAAGAGAATGTCATCTTAGGCGAACATTCTTAGTGCAATTTTTTTTTTTTAAGATGTGGGCAACTCAGGTGCACAGAATGAGTCGTGCGGTCATAACCTTCCATTCTCGACACTGGGGCTTCCCCAATACCCATGAACACCATGACCAGGAAGCCAGAAGGAACCTGGCCCATACCTTGACATTGCTGAATTTTGGCCACTCTGGCTTCAGCCTTCCTCCTCTCTTCATCGGATTCACTCGTCCGTCCCCCTTCTTCTTCTGGGCAACTTGAAAGACAATAGTCAAGAGACACAACTGAAACTAAGTCCAGGTATCGGTGGGTTCATTAGAAAAACACAGGAACTTGGCCGTAGACTTATTCATCAAGGAGGACAATTCAGCATAAAGGGAATGCATCATGTCCCTTGGCCAAGAGACTCAGCCTTCTCGAGGAGATGAAGGCTCTTGCATAGCATAACGTGCTTCTCGAAGTCAGCAGTGTAGGATGACTCATCTGTTCCACCAAACACAACACACACTCTCACACTCACATACCCTGCAATACCAACAGAGCAGAAGGGTTGGGAGGGATGGAGGTGGGGTGCCAGAGTGGATGGGGTGTGAGGGAGGTGGGGGAGTTTCGTATAACGTCTATATTTAACCAAACAGTTACTGTTAAGAATGATCACTCCCACCCTCGGGCCCCCATCTATAAAAACTGTTTTGCACAAGTAATGAGGAATAAATGAACTTAGAACACTTAGATCCACCAGTTTAGAAACGTCTTTTTAATGATTCCTCAGTACTCGGCACACAGAGAAACATAAGATGTGGCCCCTGCCCTTCAGGAGCTTCCAATCTAATTGAACAAACACACACAAATATACAATAAGAGGATAAGAACCATAAGACAGCACAGGACAAGCACCAAGTAAACGTGTAGTGAGCAGGTGCTAAAGGATTCCAGGTAAGGACGAGATCACCCACGGAAGAGGTCCTCAGGAAGGAGGGAAGGCCAGAGCTGCATCGCAGCCCCCGGGGACATAGGCAGAGGGAGGAGCGGGCATTACATGCGGGGAGGAGGGGAGGACAGAGCTTCAGTTGGAGGGCTGTCACAGGCGGGCGCGGGGGGCAGGGAGCAGACCATTCTGGCAGAGTCGCAGAGTCCATGCAGAGGAGACACGGTTAGAATGTTTTCCCTGATGGAACAAGTTTGCTCCACAGATCATGGACAGAAGGAAATATTACCTTTCTACTGCCAGCTGGATCTGTCTCATCCAGTTGTTTCGTTCCTCCTTGGAACTGGTGTGAATTTCATACATCTCCGGACCAGCAGACGAAGCGCTGATCAGAAACATTCCCCTCTCCTCGTTAGCAACTTCTCTAGCAATAAGCTTCTGAAGGGAAATAACGGACGGCTTCTGGTCCTGCATAAAATCAGATGGTGTGCAGATGAAACCACATCCTATCTAGAATTCGGCTCTCGGAAAACACGAGCTAAAGAAAGCAACAGGACTGGGTACACCTTTTCTCACTTCTGACCTTTTCAGAGGAGCTGCGTAAGTTGGTAAGATCTCCAATGGGGAGGACAAGGAGGGGAGGAGGAAAACAGAGAATTTAGGAGAATGTTCGTCCTTAAGAACCGGTGGTTCGCAAGGGTAACTTTTGAAAAGACAGATCAGAAAGGAAAAAAATAAAAATAAAAATGTCGCAACCAAGGGGAGGAGGAATTTTTCTAGCCGGGCGTGGGATAGAAAACAGCGTATCAAACATCACAGAGATTCAGGAAGATGAAGGACCCAAAGAGTCCGTTGACCTTGATAGTTAATGGTAATATCCTTTCAATAAAGTCATGGGACAGAAGCCCAGAAACCCAAAGGGGGGGACCGCAGAAATGAGAGGAGGAGGAGGAGGAGGAGGCAAGACCTTCCAATTCCTGGACACACCCAGCCTTTTCTGCTGTTGTCGTGTGGATCATGGCCATGGAACTTCCACGGCTCTATCTGTAAATGCCTCTTCTCACCCACCCGAGGAGCCCTTCATGGGTAGGAACGGGTCTCATTCACCTTCATACGCCTAACACACAGCCTTGCAAAGAGTAGGCTCTCCATCAATGTTGGTAGAACTAGTTTACCCAAATGGAACAGAGGATCCACCAGAGGAGAATGGGGAGAAAATCTAGAATTTGGCTATGTCATCTAAGCCATGATGAAACCATCTCTCCTACCAACATCTACTGTGATCATCCAATGTCCCTTTCTAAGACCTGGGAATTCAAGGGTGGACAAGACACTGGGATGTAGCTAGAGTTGTAAGAATGGTAGAAAGAATGCCTTCGGGATGAACAGTTTGAGGGACAATAATATAAAGAATCTTTTTTGGCTTGTGGCTCCCACCGCTGTTTACAGAGTTGGTTGCAGCTTGTGGTTTGGCTTCTCTGTCATGGACTGAGTGACGCCTTTAACCAGAACATGCAACTCTCCCCGTCCTGCTGACTCCTTGGTGTTGGCTTGTTGGCTTTCCCAGCACTATAGAGCTTGGCCACATCTGACATTGGCCCCAGAGGACCTCCTCACCCCACTCTTCTTAGAGGAGCACGAGGAAAAATACACGATGAGGCACGACGACTGTTCTACCTAGTCCCGTGCTCTGCCTCTGCAAACGGAAGCAACAGCAGCTCCGTGGCAGGGTGGTTTGAATACTGCCCACTCTGACCAGGGAGATTCTCTGAGCACTGGGGAAATCCTCTCTTCTAGTATAGATCTACTTTCCAAGACCTTGTTTGCTTTCCTTGATTCAATGACTAGTTTTAGCTTCCTCACCTTACAAAGCAAGCAGGGCCCGTATAAAAAGGCAGCGTAGGTCTGAGTTGCCTAGACTTGAGCAAGAGTGAAATGATCTGAACCAGTGAGTTAGCAGGGTTGAGGGCAGGAGAGGTAGCCGAGTAAGATCCTTCCAGGGAAAAGAATAGGTCCATGGGTAGAAAGTAGCATTCACTGAATGATCATCAGACTGGGGGTGCCAGGGACATGTCCCTCAGTATTCATAGGAATCACACGCAAACACTGGAGGAAAACCAAAATTCAACTAAATCTAGAAACAGAAGTCACTTGTTTCCTTTGGAGACAGGTGTCGATCTGATGGTTTTTAAAATAAGTTCTCAACATTTAAAAACGGAGGGATTTCACTTTTCTGAAAACTCTAGATTTCTGGGTTCTTAGGAAAGGCAGAGGATGGGCAATTCTGGGCCCGTATTTTTACTTAAAAAAACTGGCTACAGCTGAGGAAGCCCTGCCCACTCTGAGACAGAGTATGTGCTCATTGTCACCACAGTCCCTCCACTCTGTGTCCTCCTTGTTACCAACCCTGTTCAAGTTCACCCAGAAACCCACGCCTGGGCAGACGGGCCTTTTTGCTTTCTTTGAACAACAACAGAGACTTCGGTAAACTTGAATTTGCCCAAGTCCGCTGGAGTTAATCATATCTGCTAATAGTACCCAAATATCCTATTATTCAGTGGATGACAAACACCGGCACTTTAGAGAGACACCATCACCCTGTCCACACTGGTATTGTGTCTTGGATTCTTTCCTCTGACGGGGCCTGATGCCCTATGACGCAAACAAGGAGTGCATTGGTGACATCTTCCTTCCCTAAGTTATTTGAGAGCATGTAGATGCTGTGTAAAAATTGTTGCAAAACGCTGGTTTTAGTACTCGTCTGATTATGTGTTGGCAATGAGAGTAAACTAATATACCAACAAGGTGAGTGTTACATAAACACCCTTAGTCATTAGCAGCCATTATAGCAAAAGTAATAAAGAATCTTTAAACTTGAGCTACTAGAATGATCTTCTCGTGTGGTGGAAGGACCACTCTGGTGGTCAGGCATGGGGTTAGCAAGTGGACAGCAAGGGCAAGGGGAATGGAGGGTGCATGGTGCTGGAAGAGGTCCACTGTGCCCAGCACGAACGTTACATGCATTATATTGTGTTGCGTTGCACTGTACTGTATTACAGTGGTGGGGTACATGGGTGAGTTCACTACATAAGTTGCATGCAGGTGAAGTGTGGGCTTCGAGTGGGCTCTCTCTCCACCCACCATAGTGGTCATGGTACCCAGCGTATCGCTGCATAGCCTCCCAACCCACCGCGACAGTGTTCAGCATCTGCTAATCCCGCCCTTGTGCTCATGAATATTTTAGGTGCTGGGTCTGAGGGAACAGGATCTGGTGCTATGGGTGGTGGAAGCCTGGGGGGAAAGACCAAGATGGCATGGCAAGGGGAAATCTGGGGGGCTCAGGGTAGGGCCTATTCACCCACCAGTACCAAAGTACTTCAGTATTTTCACCATTGGTTAAACTACTGAACCAGCCAATTATCAGCCCTGGTTGAGATCAATGAACACGTATCACACTAATTCAACCCAATGAGATGCTTGTGACTAAACACTGCAATTACAAATAATTATGGGAAGATAACAGGGGCATATACTTGCCTGTGGCCATTTTATCTCACTAGGAATTTCAGGCATTTTTCAAGGAAGTGTGTGATTGAGCCTATTTTTAAAACGCATCACATGGTCATATACTTACAACGGCTGCAAAGATGTATTTCTGGTCTTTTTCTTGTAAAAAGAGCAGCACATCAGTTAGAAGTAGAGCTAGGATATCTTCAAAGAAAAAAAATTCTAGTATTAACAAAGCAAACCACAGTATAAATAAATTTAATAAAAACAAGAAGACTAATCTTTAGCCTAATTATGAAACTTTTATAAAAATACTTGTATTATGATAGCTAAAGATATGCGCTATAGGGCAACCCCCTTGGGTCCCCTCCCACAGTGGGAGCTTTTCTGTCCTCTCAATAAATCCTGCTTTCAAAAAAAAAAAAGAAGATATGTGCTATAGATAACAGTCAAAAGCTGTGTTTATGTGTGCATGTTTGTGTGTGTAACCAAAAGCACAGCAAAATCTCCAGCAAAATTTAATGCAGTAGCTTTCAAACCAGAAGGAAAATATCTAATAAAAAAGGAAGTACTAATAGGATAGAACAAGTCCTTACCTTTAGGGGGGAAAAGTGCCTTATTAAAAAGGTAAGAGGGTGGCTTCTGCCTCAAATTATACCTGCAAACCTGCCATTTTGTTTCATCCACATCTGACTAAGGTTTAAGGATCTTCATGTGGAAATTGGTCACAAGAACTTACCTTCACAACAACACTAAACATTCTAACACAAAGTTACCAAACTGATCTACTAAATGGATAAAGAGCAAATGACAAAGCAACAGAATCTATAGATTGTGGTTAATATTTCTTCAGTACAATATTGCAAGTCACAGATCAACAAATCCCATTTCAGACATTAGTTGCAACCTCTGCTGAAACTTGATCTTCCTCCAATTGGTAATAATCTCTGAGTAACTGGAATTTAGCTGCCTCTTCCTGTCACTGCTCACCTACAGAAGTTAATAAGACAGAGTGTTGGAAAAAGCGTTTCGTTTTTTTTCCCCCCTTGAGTTGGAGTCTCACTGTCGCCCAGACTGGAGTGCAGTGGCCACTCCTGGCTACCGTAGTCTCGACCCGCTGGGCTCCGGCGATCCTTCTGCCTCAGCCTACCAAGTAGCTGGAACTACAGGCGCGCGCTACCACACCCAGCTAATTTTTTTGATTTATTGTAGAGATGAGGTCTCGCCAAGTTGCCCAGGTGGATCTTGAACCCGCGGGCTCAGGCAATCCACTCACCTCAGCCTCCCAAAGGCACGGGATGAAAAAAGTGTTTCTTAGCCCTGGCTGCACAGTAGATTCACCTGGAGGGCTTTCAGACATCCGTGAGGCATGCGATTGGGCTTCATCCTTACACCAATAAAATCAGAATCTCTGAGAAGAGACTTGAGCATCAGTAATTTTTTAAGCTCCAGATGATTCTACTGTGTGGCCAGAGTGAGAAAGCCTGGGTCGCGAAGTAATCAGTCCTTAAGAATTGGAATAAACTGTTCTTGAAGCTAACCAGATCAACAGAGTCAAGTTCATGCCTATCGTCAACAGTAGCATTGAGGAAGAGCTTATGCCAGTATTAGCATGTATGTGGACGCAATCTATCACTCAGGAACACAGATGGCGTTCAGAGTTCACTTCACTTCTCCCCTCCACGGTCTGACAGCCCAGGGCTGGCTTGGCATGCAACAGACCCCGGGTGTGTAGGTGTACTGCCTTGCTTTCAACACACCACATTTGCCAGAATAATTTTTCCATGCCAACGATGAGCAGAACCCTCCGTTCCTTTGATTTTAGACATCACAAACTTGCATATTCATAAAACATGTATAAAGGTTTTTAGCTCGGGGCAGCAAACTACCACCAAAGATTTTGATCCTTGGCCACATTTGCCTTTTGAAATTCACAGCTTGATCTCTCAACTGACCTGGGGTTTGTGTGTGTGCACCTGAAATTCTGAATTCTTTTTCTCTTGAACCTCTGTCCTTTGCTGAATGAAAGAAGGAGAAAGAGTCGAACATAAATGAAAGAAGGAGAGATGAGTCAGGTAGAGCCACCGTACCTTTGAAACGCCCTGTAGCCGTTTTCCAGTAAACAAGGCCATCATACACGAGAGTCCTCTCTTGACTTATCAGTGCCTGCTTCCTAAACACATGACCATTTTTGAGTTTCGTATACGTTTTGTTTTCAATCTTATTCAGGATCTCAAGCCATTTTTGGTTTTTTTCATACTCGTTGACTTTCAAATCCACTGTTGCAATCATGTCTTTAATCAAGCAAAGAGCTTTGCATAAGTCTTTGTGCTCTTCAGTACTTTCTGCAGGGGGAAAAGAAACAAAGAACATTACACAATAAGTCGGAGTGCTAAGGAAGAATGCTTTTCCCCTCTTTAGTTTTTAAATATAGTTAAATGTATCATACAAATAACAAAAATCCCATAAGAGGAATGTTAGATCAAATTCAAATACTGTTCTATCACTCTGTACCTCAATCCCCCAAAAGTTAAAATACTGGATTAGAAAATATTTGCATTATTAAATGTGCTTCAGCTGACATGCTGAAGAGGTCTGAGTTCTAAGGATGGGTCTGACCTTCCCTCCAGAGCGGGGATATGGGGACCAGCCAGCATCCTCTCAGAAATGGAGCCACAGGGGGACTTGAATGGGCCACAGACTTATTAACATAATATTCAATAATATTAAAATAATATGCAATGATGTTAAAATAATATTCAAAACTGTCTTCAAAATAATATTCATTAAAATAACCTTCACAATTGTATTTCATAACTGCATTGGCATAAGTATGAATATATTATTATAACTAACCCATTTTATATGACCTAAAATTTTTTTTTTTCTTCTGATGGTAAAAGAAATTGAAATATTTTCACAGGACCTGGGCATTGTGCCTAATGGGTACATCAGCCATGCTCGTGCCAAGAGCAAATAATCAGTGGTTTCAGTTGTTATCCTTTAAAACACTGGCCACCTGCTCTTACTTCTAGATTATCTTAAGAAAATACAGTGGAGGTATTTCTGGAACAGCCCCTGAAACTCCAGATAGGAGTGAATTTAGCCATTTTCCGTATTTGGTAATAAAGACCACCTAGCCAATGTTTATTGAGGTGGCTAGAACTGGAAGGTAAAGTTTCAGGAGGTCATTTTGTAGTGGAGATAACTGAGGCTCAGTCAGTTAACTGATCCATGAACGAACGGCAGAGCCAAGTATATACCACAGCAATGCAAATTCACACAATTCCCAACCCAAGTCCTTGTTAGCACAACATGTTGTCACCCTAATAATAATTTCAAGATAAATACACTAGCTTGAGGATGAGACAATGTGATGCATTCATTCATTGCACCGATACGTTTTTACTTACTGATAGCCTATGCTACACCAGTCATGACATTAGACACTGAAGCTCCAGCTGAGAATCAAACACACACAGGTTGTACAGACCCAACAAGGAGCTTACAGTCCAGCTATGTGCGTTAACATCCTCTTCAAAGATGCCTAGATGTTACTCCCTGGAACTTAATGAACTGACAGGGTAAAAAACAGCCCCTCCATGCAATCCTTCTAAATATAATAACTTACTGCTTGGGAGAGTTGACATTTGGTGATAGAATCAATAGCATCACGTTTCGTCGGATTTCTGTGAAAGTAACAGGAGGATGAGGAAGAGGAGGAAGTAAGAATGTCCAGACATGACGAAAGCATAGAGGAGAAAGGCAGGGTCAAAGTACGAAGAAGCTTGGTTTGGGGCTACTTGGAAGAATTGGGACTATCAGTCAAGCCATGTTATAAAAGACACTTTCTCGTCATGAATCCGAACTGTGAGCTTTAACTGTTTCCCCACAATGAGAATCTTTGTGAATCAGAGGCCACAAACATGCATAGCTGTCCAAGACACCTCAGCCATGTCGAAAACTAATAAGAAAGGCGAGTGTTTGCCTCGCAAGTCTCACTCACCCTTTGTGTACTGCAAAATCCTTTCCACCAAAACAGGGTATTTTGTGATGCGCTGAGTGACCAACAGAATGCATTCTGGAATTCCTCGACGTCGAGCAAGAAGATTACTATTTCGGAGCTTAAAATACACATATGCACATTTTTATATACACACGTTCTACCTGCTTTACTTTTTATGTGTGAATTTCACACTATAATGAATCTGCAACAGTACAATTTTATTCAGACTTAACAAATGATTCATCATCATTAATTGAAAGGATGCATTGTCACTAAATTGTATACTTTGTCATAAGTTTCAATGCTCCAACTCTCCAAGATTTCAAGGAGTTTCAAATTACTCTGATGTATTTGTAGTTAATTCCAAAAGTGAGCAAGCTCCAATACTTAAGGTGTCAGGATTCATGAGTAGTAAAAGTTTTTGAAAAATAATCAGAAATCACAGATTTTTTTTTTTTTTTTTTTTTTTTTAGTTGGAGTCTCACTCTGTTGCCCAGGCTGGAGTGCAGTGGCACACTCAGGGTCACTCCAGCATCAACCTGCTGGGCTCCAGCAATCCTTCTGCCTCAGCCTTCCAAGTAGCTGGAACTACAGGTGCACGCTGGAACTACACCACAGCTAATTTTTGATTTGTTGCAGCAACAAGGTCTCGCCAAGTTGCCCAGGCTGGTCGGTCTGAAACTCACAGGCACAGGCAATTCACTTGCCTGAACCTCCCGAAGTGCTGGTATCACAGGCTGAGCCACCAAGCCTGGCCAATCGCAGATTTTGAACACGAGTTTACAATTTGTTTTAGAATAGGTCTTCCTTCACATTTACTATTTTTTATTATAACACTTAAAGTTCCACACTCAGGGCAATTTTTTCCTAAAAATCTCAAAGTGCTCTGTAAGTTTTCAAGTACTCAATACATACTGATATGGGGGGGGAGGGAAAAGAATTTGGTAGCATTTTTAAAATGGTAGATAAAAATTTAGAATCTGGTCAGGCTCAGTGGCTCAGCCTGCAATCCCAGCACTTTGGGAGGCCGAGGCAAGTGGATTGCCGAGCCCGCGGGTTCGAAACCCACCTGGGCAACTTGGCAAGACCTTGTCTCTACAATAAATTAAAAAAAACTAGCCGGGCATGGTAGCGCGCGCCTGTAGTTCCAGCTACCTGGAAGGCTGAGGCAGAAGGATTGCCGGAGTCAAGCAGGTAGAGGCTGCAGTGGCTGGGAGGGGCCACTGCACTCCCTGGGTGACAGAGTGAGACTCCAACTCAAAAACACAAGAAAAAAAAAATTTAGAATCCAGGAAACTTTATAGGACAAATTTCTTCAACAAATAAGTTGGAAGGGGAACAAAAATCAGGGAGACTATTCAAATTAAGAGAGATTTAAAAGGTATAACCATACACAACATGTGAACCTTGGTCAGATCTTGATTTAAACAATCTAATCTATTTTATAAAATAATCAGTGAAATGTGAAGATATCAAAATATACTACTAACTAATTTGTGCAACAATGGCACTATAATTTTTAAAGATATGTTGTTTAGAGATACATATTACAGATGAAGTCATATGATGTCATGGATTTGCTTCAAACGAATTCAGTGGAAGTGGGGAGGATTCCGTATTTATTTTTACTTTGGTTTTTCTGATATATAACTTGTCGGGGCATGAAACAGTTCCTAGTATATTACAAAAATTCTCAGAAGTTTGGAAGGCACAACCTCACAAATCTATGATACACAAGGAAACGATGGCCATTACTTTTGCTAAGCTCTGGCCCGGTCATGCTTCCATTGAGCTATGGTTGGGCTGTGCTTCTCTTTAAGCTCTGGGCCCCTCTGCAATTTGGGGGAGGCGGATCCTCCTTTTTTCTCTCTCTTTGCATCTCCTTTTTTTTTTTTTTTTGAGTTGGAGTCTCACTCTGTCACCCAGACTGGAATGCAGTGGCCGCTCCCGGCCACCGCAGCCTCGACCTGCTGGGCTCCGGCGATCCTTCCGCCTCAGCCTTCCGAGTAGCCGGAATTACAGGCGTGCGCTGCCACGCCCGGCTCATTTTTGATTTATTGTAGAGATGAGGTCTTGCTGCCCAGGCGGGTCTCGAACCTGCGGGCCCAGGCAATTACATCTACTTTTAAAATAAACTACATTTTCCATTCTAAAAAAAAAAAAAAAAGGAAATGGTTTGGGAGCAATATTTTATCAACACAGAGAAAGAAACTCTCCATCTCTGCCGTAAACCTACCACTTCCTTCTTCTTCCTATGAAAAGTGGCACTGAGATATGAAACTTGTTTAAATCATGTGAGAAACAGGTATTAACTATGTATCCATACTGGTTTATCACTTTGTAATAAAGTTTTAAAATACTTGCCTTAATAAAATTCTGAAACTTTTTATTCTGTTGGAGTTCTTTAAAGAGGTTAACAGCTTCTTTGTGATGGCTACAGAATTCTCCATATATTTTCTTCATTTTACTTGCATTTTCTTCTGAAAACTGAGGAGAATAACATTTCAGTCGTGGCTTATAAATTTGGTAAGTTCTAGACACAGTAAAGATCATGAAATTGTTACATATTTCAAAACATCCCTTGCAAATCAATATGAAATTTCTGAACACAATCACTTCTCTTCCCCAGACACTTTAAAAGCTGAAGTAAAAGGAAGTTGGTAAGTGGTAAGGGCCAAACTAATGTGATTATAGTATGGTGAACGAATCCAATTATCAAACAGTCAAATGAAGAACATCTGATGTCTTCTGTTCTTCTTTTTCAGCTTCTGTGCCACTGTATCCTTTCACTTTGTGGTTTTGTTTGTGGCAACATTTGGGGGCCCGCAGGAAGATCTGGCCTCTCAAAGAAATCACCGCTTGGCCTTGACACGGGCTACTGACCATGTCCATGAACTCAGTCCTAAGTAGGGAATATGATTTTTGTTCACACGTTCCTAGTGGATCAAAAGCAGCTATCATTAGCCACGGTGAAAGAGAATGGCAAATAGCCAAAGTATGAATTTATTAACTAATGAAGAGAAGGAGACGTGGGGCTGGATGTTATAAGCCTGACCTGTAGAAAATTATTTGTGACCCAATACTGTAGGAAAAAGATTGACAACAGCGGGAAACCATGGGTGGGGGGGGTGGAGAGGTGGAATTGACAGTAGTAGATACCTGCCTGGGGAAGTGGGGACACACCTCATCAACAAGGGTGCCTGCATAATGAACATTTGTATGCCTAACCCTGGATTGTAGCCCACAATTTTAAAATAAAATTAGAAGAGGAAAAAAGAAAAGAAAACTATTTGAAGAAAAATATACATAGGAATCAACTTAGAATCATAAGAGGGTGTGAAGAGAACTAGCTGGATGATTTTCTTAGACTTAGGACAGCCTTACATTATAGCTTTACATGCACATGTCCAGGTTGAAGAGCACTGCAACAGAAACCAGAACCCATCCAGCCTTTTTGGAAAGTCCTTAAAACTTACATCATCACGTCTGGCCTTTTCATCTTTATTTACAGTTTTATTTATATTCAGGGCTAGTATGCTTCAAAAAATGATTCTTAAGCCACTTACAAACACAAAACGAACAAATAAAAAACAACTTAGGTACAAATCTAACAAAACACATAAAGGACTTGTGTGATGAAAACTAGACAATGCTGGTGAAAGAAATCAAAGCTCTAAATAAGCGGAAAGTTATATCATGTTCATGGACTGGAAGACTCAAGCTAGTTAGGACAACGATTTTTTTCCAGATTGATACAGAGGTTTAATGCAATTCTTAACAAAATCTCAGTAAGCTTTTCATAAATATAGATAACACTATTCTAGAAATTACATTAAAAGGCAAAGGAACTAGAATAGATAATTAAAAGATTCAGTCCTCTAATTTCAAGATTTATTATATAACTACAGTTATTAAGACTATGAAAAGACACATAGATCACTGGAACAGAATAAGAAACTAGGATGCCCAAATGATACACATATTTTTATGTAAAACATAAAAATAGGAGAAAAATCTTTGGACCTAGGGCTAGACAAAGAGTTCTTTTTTTTTTTTTAATTGGAGTCTCACTGTCACCCAGACTGGAGTGCAGTGGCCACTCCCAGCCACCGCAGCCTCGACCTGCTGGGCGCCGGTGATCCTTCTGCCTCAGCCTTCCAAATAGCTGGAACTGCACGCGCATGCTACCACGCCCGGCTAATTTTTGATTTATTGTAGAGATGAGGTCTCACCAAGTTGCCCAGGCGAGTCTTGAACCCCGCGGGCTCAGGCAATCCACTCACCTCAGCCTCCCAAAGATGCGGGATTACAGGCTGAGCCACCAAGCCCGGCTGACAAAGAGTTATTTAACTTGAAACCAATAACACAATCCTTGAAAGAAAAAAAAAATCTGATAATCTGGACTTTCTCAAAATTAGAAAATGAGAAGACAAGTTACAGATTGGGAGAAAGTGTTTGCTAATCACATATCTGACAAGAACTAACATCTAGGATATGTAAAGAAATCTCAATACTCAACATTCAGAAAACAATGATCAAAAGGCAAAAACAGACATTTCACTGCAAAGGATATACAGATGGCAGTAAGCACATGACACGATGTGCACATTAGGGAAGTGCAACTTGAACCACAATGAGATATCACTTTATACTTTTTAAAATAGCTAAAATTAAAAAATGCAGATAACATCAAATGCTACAGAAGATGTAGAAAAACTAGATTATATGTATATTGTTGATGGAAATGTAAAATGTAAAATGGTACAACTACTCTGGAAAGTGTTTCTTATAAAACTAAACACACAACTACTATGCAAACTGGAATCACATTTCTGGGTACTCATCCAGAAAAACAAGAACTTAGGTTTGCACAAAAATCTGAACATGAATGTTTATAGCAGGTTTATTTGAAATAGCTAAATTTTGGAGACAGCAAGATGCCCTTCTACAAGTGAATGATTAAACAAACTATGGTCATCCATGCCATGGAATGCTACTCAACAATAAAAAAGAATGAAAAATTGACACATATAACCATCTGGATGATTCAAGAATACTATGATGAGTCGAAAATGCCAACCCCCAAAGAGATTACATAAGTAAGTCTCCTATATATGAACCTTCAAGTTGCGAACTTTCAAAGATGAGAACGTGCATTCACATGTCCAATCACAAAGTTAGTTCATGTGTCTGGTGTACACTGTCACGTGCGTGCATCCTCTACAAGTAGTTGTGCTTCTGTGCACTTTACTGTACTGTACTATTTGTTTTTATATATTTTTTGTGTGAAAAGTATGAGCCTATTACAGTAGAATATTATCTAGCTGAATGTGTTAGTTGGGTACCTAGGCTAACTTTGTTGGACTTACAAACAAATTGGGCTTAATGAATGCACTCTTAGAACAGAACTCATTCATATGTAGGGGACTTACCATACTATGAAATTTCGTTTATTTCACATTATTGAAATGACAGAATTATAGAAGTGGAAAACAGATTAGTAGATTACCAGGGGCTAAGGAGGAAGCAGGGGAAGGGGAGAAATAGTGTAGCGTCCTTGAAGAATCCTTGTGGTCACAGAAATATTCTGTATCTCAAGCATATCAATGTCAGTGTCCTGACTGTGATACTGTATTATTATCATAGCTTTACAAGATGTTGTCACTGGGGAAAAAATCTTAAAAAAAAAAAAAAAGTATACTAACGTAATTCTTCATAGAATTAGAAAAAGCAATCCTAAAGTTCATATAGAACTGAAATAGAGCCAGACTAGCCAAAACAATCCTAAGCAAAAAGAACAAATCTGGAGGCATCACATAGCCTGACTTCAAATTATACTACAAGGCTATAATAACTAAAATAGCAGAGTACTGGTACAAAAACAGACACACAGATCACGGAACAGAACAGAGAACAAATAAAGCCACATACCTACAAGCAACTGGTCTTCAGCAAAGTTGACAGAAATAAACAAGGGAAAGGACATCATATTTAATAAATGGTGCTGGGAAAATTGGACAGCCCTATGCAGAAGAATGAAACTGGACCCATTTCTCATCATATACAAAAATTAAGTGACAGTGGATTGAAGACTTAGACATAAGACCTGACACTATAAAACTCCTAGGAGAAAAACTAGGAAAAATTCTTCTGGACATTGGTCTAGGCAAAGAATTTTTGATGAAGACGCCAGAAGCCAATGCATCAAAAACAAAAGTAGACAAATGAGACTTAATTAAAGAGCTTCAGCGCAGCAAAAGAAATAATTAACAGAGTGAACAGAAACCTATGGAAAGGGAGAAAATATTTGCAAATTACACCTCCAATAAAGGACTTATATCTAGAATCTACAAGGAACTCAAACAACTCAAGAAGAAACAAACAAGCAACCTCATTAAAAATTGGGCAAAGCATCAAACATCAAAAATGTTCAACAGCGCTAATCATCAGAGAAATGCAAATCAAAACCACATGAGATACCATCTCACATCAGTCAGAATGGTTATTATTAAAAAGACAAAAACCAACAGATGTTGGCGAGGTTGTAGAGAAAAGGAAATACTTATATGCTATTGGTGGGTATGTAAATTAGTTCAATCCCTGTGGAAAGCAGTTTGGAGATTTCTCAAAGATCAAAAAATAAAACTACCATTCAACCTGGCAATACCATTTCTGGGTATATAACTAAAGGAAAATAAGTTATTCTACCAAAAAATAAAACACGTGTATTGCAGCACTATTACAAAAGCAAAGACTTGGAATCAACAGAAGAGTGCCCCAGATAAAGAAAATGTTAATATATACCATGAAATACTATACAACCATAAAAAAGAATGAAATCATGTCCTTTGCAGCAACATGGATACAGCTAGAGATCATTATCCTAAATGAATTAATACAGAAACAGAAAACCAAATACCACATATTCTCCCTTATAAATGGAAGCTAAACATTGGGTAAACACGGACATAAAAATAGAACCAACAGACAATGAGAACTCCTAAAGAGGAGGTGAGAGGGAAGCCAAGGGTTGAAAAACTACCTGTTGCATATTATAATTACTATTTGGGTGACAGCTTCAGTAGAAGTTCAAACCTCACCATCATGCAATATACTCATGCAACAAACTTGCCCATGTACCCTCTGAATTAAATTTTTTTTAAAAAACTGAGCAAAGGACATGAACAGACAATTCTCAAAAGAAGAAATGCAAGTGGCCAAGAAACACACAAGAAATGTTCGTTATCACTAATGATCAGAGAAATGCAAATGCAAACCACAGTGGGATACCACCCTATACAAATCAGAATGACTATTATTAGAAAGTGAAAACCAACAGATGATGGTGTGAATGTGGTGAAAAGAGAGTGTTTATACACTCTGGTGGGAGTGTAACTGAGTACAATCTTGACGGAAATCAGTATGGAAATTTCTCAAAGAATTAAAAGTAGATCTACCATTTGATCCAGCAGTCCCACTAATGGGTATCTACCCAAAGGAACATGAGTCATTAAACAAAGAAAAAACCTGCAGTCACATATTTATTGCATCACAGTTCATAACTGCAGAGATGCAGAATCAACCTAAGTGCCCATCAGCTGGCGAGCAGATAAGAAAATGACAGAGTAAACAGAATATATATACATATACGCCATGTATATACATGTATAGACACACACACACATATGTATCCACCACAACAGAATTAACAGAATACATACACACACACACACACACACACACACACACACACACACACACACACACACCATGGATACTATTCAGCCATAAAAAAAGAATGAAATCAAGTCCTTTGAAGTAACATTGATGGAGCTGGACGCCATTATCCTAAGAGAAGTAACACAGAAACAGAAAACCAAATATCGCATGTCCTCTTATAAATGGCAGCTAAACAAGGGATACATCCGGACATAAAGATGAAAATAATAGATACTGGAGGCTGCAAAAGGGGGAAGGATTGAAAAATTACCTAGCAGGTACAATGTGCACCACTTGGGGAACGGGTACAGTAGAAGGCCAATCCCCACCCATATGCAATATAGGCATGTAACAAACCTGCACATGTACTCCCTGAATCTAAGATAAAATAAAATTGTTAAATAAATAAAATTTAAGATGTAAAATGCCAAACCCCAGACCCCACCTCAGTCCTACGGAAACAAAGCCACTAAGGTTGAAGCACAAAATTCCTCAAATTTTTTTTTTTTTTCGAGTTGGAGTCTCACTCTGTAGCCCAGACTGGAGTGCAGTGGCTGCTCCCGGCCACCGCAACCTCGACCTGCTGGGCTCTGAAATTCCTCATTTTTAACAAGCTTCAGGTGATTCTTGGAATCACCTGAATTCTTGGAAGTTGGAAATCTACGGCTTTATACCAATCATGTTCCACATCGTCACAACTGCTCACTGATACACTTCCTGTTGCAGCCCAGTCCTGCACTCCCCCCCCCAGATCATGCGGAGTCTCCATGGTTAGAGTGTGGGATTTACCCAAACTCTCCTCTCACACACCCTTCAAAAGCTTGTCTCTTCCTTTGTTCCCCCAGAGCACCACACCCACATTCACTGGCTAAGGATTTTGCTAATTTAACCTTCCAGAAACACCTTTATTAACAAAGCAGTCTTGGGGAACTCCCTGCCATACCCACTGTGCATGGCCAACACGAGAACACAAAAGCAGACTTAAATTGTCTTCTCTGAATACCAAGGATCCTTTGCCCAAAAGATCCCTGCTTTGTCCAAGAGTCCACCAGGCTCACACTGTGTTATCACCAACTTCCCAAACCTTATTCACTACTTAAGCCCTGGTTTTATCCATAGAAACTGAACAAATACAGAGCTGCATAATTTTTGTTAACTATGAAAGTAACTTAAGAATGAAAACAATGTAACTGACAAATATATGCATGTAACAAACCTGCACATGTACTCCCCGAGTCTAAAATAAAATAAAAATGTTAAATAAATAAAATTTAAAATGTAAAATGCCAAACCCCAGACCCCGCCTCAGTCCTACGGAAACAAAGCCACTAGGGTTGAAGCACAAAATTCCTCAAGCAAGCGACAAAAGAAATCTTGCATTTCATTTTTGAATGCACTCAGATTCAATATCACTTAGATACATTCAGATATTTTTATTCAAACTGTCTTGCAAAATACTTTCTAGTCAAACTCGGTCCTGCTAGTTGGCACCATATGTTTCAGGTGAATTATGAAGACATAACAGGGGGCTTTAAAGATAATCTACAAAGTGAGTACCTCTTTGATTAAGAACTGTTATTACTAATGTGGATTTTTATGTTGTTACACAGGTAGGAGTGGCCATTAAGCAACATATCTTGCTTTATTTGTGTGCATTAAAAATATTTGTGTTGAAGCATATTTATATCAATGAACTTCCCCTCCCCATTTTCAACACACAGACCAACAGCTGGACTCCACTGCTATGTGTGAACATGGTGAAATGGCTTTAAAAGTAATCTGCTTGGAGAAGGTGGCATTTTGGCATCCACCTAGGGAAAGCTATACCAAAGCAATTATGAATGGATTCTCTTGACTCTCCCAAGTGCTGTAGGCCACTGTAAAACATGGCATTCAAGTTAATACCTGATGCTCTTTTTTCCTAAGCAATTCATTCATTCAATAAATATGTATAACACCGAGCACTGTTCTAGGCACTGGAATACAACATAATCAAACAGACATGAATCCCTGCCATGCTGGGATTCACAGTCTCATGATGATAAATGCATCTTCAGCATGTCACTATGAATGTCTCAAGATATCATATTCTTCGTCTGTGTTGATGAAAGAGCAGATTTTGAGGTAAATCTCACTTGCACTTATGAGATGGGTGAACTTGAGAAAGTCAACGATGTCTCTACACCTCAGCTTTTGTAACTGTACAATGGGAAAAATAATATCTACTTCACATTTTTGTGCCAATTAAATGGGGTAATACAGATGAAAGAACCCTAAAAGTGTCTGCCATATTAGAGTCACTGAGTACATGTTCTCTAACTTCTTTATTAGCATGTTTCTAATGGAGAATCCCTTCAGAGACATCAGAAGGCCAATGCCAATGCCTCAAAAGCAGGTGGTGGCTGTTTTATTAGGAGAGTGGCATAGTACATTCTTAGAACGGATGCTTCAAACATCCAAACCTTTAAAAACAGCCTTCTTGACAAACATATGGTCTTCACAGCAATTTGGATGGATTTAGAGTCAGATCATACTCAGTGATCTATCACAGAAACAAAGAACAGAGTGCCATATGTTCTCACTCATTAGCTGACCCCAAACAATTACCACACACTTTAAGCAAGGGATGGGCAGTAGCAGGATGCCACTGGGGTGAGAGTGGCAGGGAGGACAAAGTATTGATAAGGGCACCCGATCTCAAACCAGGCAAAGTGGGCACCAGATGGAAGCCCAAACTTTGCCTGTATGATGTCCGCTTGTACACCTAATCCTAAATTGTACCCTATATCTTTAAAATTAAAAAATTAAAAAAAACACAACCATGTATTAAAAAATAATAGTACAAAAACATTTTTTAAAAAGCCTTCTTTTAGTGAGATTTGCTTGTCTTCGTCCCCCAGAAATTAACTTACAGCTTAACGATCATAGATTAGCCTATCTCCTCCCAAGTTGCGCCAGCATTTGTCTCAGTGACATTGGTGAGACTATCACAGGCCTACAGCGAATGTCATTAGAGAGCCCCTCACAACAGAAAGCCTAAGAAGAATGTCCATAAATAGGGGGATAAATTCATCCCCGTGGCTCCTGGTGGAGGCAGCAGCAGGGCCAGGGATGGTCCCGTCAAGACCCGTGACACACAGAGGAGTCAGGCATTGGCTCTGAAGAGTGCTCGGGCATCAGTACGCGAACCAACACCAAACAAAAGAAGACCCACCAAATGTATCTGGTAATCAACATCATGAAACCAATTCCATTTCTCCACAGGCTTCTAACACTGTAGAGAGTCTGCCAGCCTTCAGGCTTCTGAGGGCCCGGCCATGAAACCTTTCTTACCTGTTGTACCAGAATGTCTCCAATTCGGTCGATCACAAAGTTCCTGTCGTTGCCAGCACAGGAGTCCTGCCTTCGCTCCTTCATGCTGTGGAAGAAATGCCTGTGGATTTCCAGCAGCTCGTCTAAACAGGGGAAGATCTTCTCCACGGTGCTGTGGTCCAGCTGCAGCTCCTCCTTCATGCCTTTCCTGAAGATCTCAGACATGATGAAAAGTGTCTGGATGTGATGCATCTCTGTCTGCATGAGCTCTGAAATGTGTGAGCAGAAACATGCTTTACACAAGCTTCACCAAAACAAGGAGCCCTGCTAACCTAAATTTGTAACGCAACACAAATAAAAAAGAAGAAATGTCTAGGTATAACTAGAGTATTTCTTCCAATATAAAAGCCAGCATTGATTAAACATTTAATTGAAGCTTACAAGAGTAAATCATTTCATTTTTCATAGTAAAAGAGGATACATGCAAGTCAAGTCCAGCATATAAGAACTGAATGTATCTGAAACTCTCATGGTATAACTAGCTAGTACCTTTAGATTCCTTTAACTGGGAAGTAGGTCTCATTCCTACCCAAATGTTCGTAAAATACATCTTAGTTTGCTGGTTTTCTTTCTTTCTATCTTTGGTTTTTGCATTGAGTAGCACAATTAATTTGGTGAATTAAATTGAACTAAATATAATAAAGTTTCTCAATGCAGATCACCACAGGTCCTTTCTACTTCAGGACCTGTCTCCCAAATCCCACTCTCTTCAGGGAAAAACAATGCATCACAATCAAAAGATACCATGTAGAAAGTGAACAGACAATCCACAGAGTGGGAGAAAATATTTGCAAATCATGGATCTCATAAGGAGCTTGTATCCAGAATATATATATTTTTTAAACTCCTCAACCCAACAACAACAGAAAAATAACCTAGGCTGTTGTTTTGTTAAGCACTTGCCAGACCATGTGGTCTTTGAGCTATGGTCACCATGTTTTCTTAGCTAGGCTCCCTTCCCGACCTTGGAGAGGCAAATCTCCCTGCCCCCCTCTAATTGGCTTTCTAAATAAACAACATTAAAAATAAATAAAATATATTTTCCAATCTAAAAATAAATAACTAAACAACCTAATTCAAAAATAGGCAAAGAATTTGAACACATGTCTCCAAAGAGATATACAAATGGCCATAAGCACAGGAAAAGATGCTCCACATGACAGCTATTAGGGATAAGCAAATCAAAACCAAAATGTGACACCACTTCACACACACTCGCCTAATTATACTAAAAAAGAAGGACAATAAACACATGTTGGTGAGGATGTGAAGAAACTGGTACCCTTATGCATCGCTTGTGGGAAGGTAAAAATGGTATAGTTCCCATGGAAAACAGTCTGGAAGTTCCTTAAATGATTAAATATAAAGTTACCATATTAACCAAAAAATGGAAAATCCCAAAATGTCCATCCATGGATGATTAGATAAACAAAATGTAGTATTAGTCATACAAAGGAATGGAGTACCTATATATATTACAACTAGGATGAACCTTAAAAACATTACGCTAACTGACAGAACCCAGTCGCAAAGGCCATGTATAGTACTACCCGTGTAAAATGTCCAAAACAGGCAAATCTGTAGGGACAGAAAGTAGGTTCGTGGCTGTCAGAGGTTGGTGAAAGGTGGAAATGGGGAGTGATTGGTAATGAGAACAGGATGCTCTTTTGAAGTGATGCAAATGTTCTGAAATTAGACAGAGCTTGATGGTTGCACAGCTTTGTGAATGCACTAAAAACCACTAGGTTATAAGGGTGAATTTTATGGCATGTGAATATCTCAATTTTTTAATACATTATGAGAGAATGCTCACAATTTATGGGAGCACCAGAAGTACTAGTTCTGGTGAGTACTTTCAAATTTTAATGAGTACTTTCAAACGTATTGCATGTTTTGAGTAAGAATCTAAAATGTCAGTCATGAAGAGTAAATAAGTCTAAACATACCTCTGTTTATACTTTACCATAAACAAAAATCTCTTTAATTAGGAACCCACTAACTCTGAATTATTAGTGCCTACTCTGTGCTAAGCACGTGCCCATATCATCATGTAATCTCTTAATCCATGTATTCACTATGACCCCCAATATAGGAATGATTTTCCTCATCTTTAAAAGAGAAACAGCGAGGAAGAAAGGGTGAAGGATTTGTCCGGAGAAGACAAGTCTTTGCGACACCAAAGCCCACCCACTAAGAATACATCCCAAATGAGTTATTTTTGATAGCATATGAAATTAAAAGGTAAATGAAGAAAAATGACAGTGTAATATAAATTGCTTGAGAAATACTACAAGAGACCGCCTCTTCCTTTCCAAAGTAATTCCCACCTGTACTATACAGCTCTTAGCAGATTTTAAAGCACGTTCGACATCTGACCTGCACAGGCATCACTTGACGCAGGTGAGAATGCATCCTCATGACCGAGGGGCTTGTTGGTCCACATACAGCTTAGAGTCAGTTGAGTTTTTAAAGTAGGGAATCTTCTTGGACCCTATTTCACATCGACGTTGTACTCGACATTTTTTAAAGGTTCTTCTTTTCCTACTCTGTAATTTAACTTTCCCTAGTCCAGATTGCATTTCACCTCAAATTTCATGAAATGGTAAAATCTCACCACAGTTGAATTCTATACTCAGGATGACACACAGTCAAACACTGCCCTCACCCAGATGCAGCTGCTTGTGTCGCAGGCTCTGAAAGGTGCACCCCTGTGTACACAAACCGTAGGGCCATAGCAGGACCCCTGTCTATCCCACATGAAAACATGTGAAAGTTCACTGGGACACTTACATAGGCGAGCATATAGGCCAAACCTAAGTACTTGAAGGGGGTTGGGGGAGAACATTTGTTCAGTACTAGGAACACACAATGCCTCATTTAAGCCTCACAACAACACTTTAAACCTGAGTATTACTACCCCATTTGATAGCTGGAGAAACCGAGGTCCAGGTGAGTTCGATACTTTGTCTGAGATCTGGTATACAGAAAATAGTAGAGCCGGGCTCGGGGGCTCAGCCTGTCATCCCACGTCTTTGGGAGGCTGAGGTGAGTGGATTGCCTGAGCCCGCCGGTTTGAGACCTGCCTGGGCAGCGAGACCTCATCTCTACAATAAATCAAAAAATCAGCAGGGTGTGGTAGCGCATGCCTGTAATTCCGCCTACTCGGAAGGCTGAGGTGGAAGGATCGCCGGAGCCCAGCAGGTCGAGGCTGCGGTGGCCGGGAGAGGCCACTGCACTCCAGTCTGGGCGACAGAGTAAGACTCTGACTAAAAAAAAAAAACCAAAAAAACAAAAACGGTAGAACTGAGATTTTACACAGGTTTGTAGAGTTTCAAATCCCATGCTCTTTTCTTGAAACCACACTGCTTCAGCCCCAAAAACATATTTGAAACGCTTACCAAAAATGACATCTTGTCTTTTGATGACATCCTTCTCCTGCCTACTGCAAAACGAGGGCTCCACCACTAGACTCCAAGATTCTGCTTCAAACTCCTGGGCGTCACTGCTGAGGTCACTCCACAGAGAAGAATCCACAACATCTAATATGTGTTTAGAAAAGAAAAGGCAGAGGAGGTACAGTAACACATAGCACAAACAGTGCTCATGTCTACAGATTCCAAAGTGCTCATGTCTACAGATTGCTCACGCTAAATGACCCTTCTAGAAACATAGAAGCAACTGGATCAAAATATTACTAGTGTGTAGTTGAAATATCTTAAAAACAGACTTGAGGAAGTGGTCCAAATCACGACAGCTTTCATGAACGCAAAGAAGAATCAGATATTAAAATAGCGATTTGTATAAAGGAGAACCCCAAAAAACCTGGAGGTTTTTTCATCTTTTGGAGGGTCAGCCCCTTGTATTACAGGCTCCACCTGCTAGGTAAGTATTCTAGAATCCATCAGCATCAGTGTACCAGCTAGCATTGTTGTGAGAGGCTGCACTTGGTTTCAGGGAATTATTACTATTTTTTAAGATGCTTTCAACGCCTTCGCCCATTGCACGATGAGAGATTTATGAGCACACCTGCCCACAATACACTGAGAGTTCAGCAGTTTTTGGCCCAAAACAGTATGACCCTTGTGCCTGTTCTCCCTCTTCACCCAATCTTGCCCGATGGGTGAGCTATGTTTTTTTTGTTTCCCCAGATGAAAAAGTACTCAAAGGGAAATGTTTTGCCAATATGGAAGAGGTGAAACAAAAAACGGCGGAAGCACTAAAAAGCATCAACACTGATGAGTTTTAAAACATCTTGAGCACTGGAACAAGCATCTGGATGTCTGTATTGCATCAAATACAGAGTACTTGGAAAGTGACTAAAGTTTAAACATATAAGAGTAAATATATAATTTTTTACAAAAAAATTCTATTTTGGGGGGTCTCCCTCCTATTTGGGGAGAAAAGGCATTTGAAGAGCCTTTTGTATGGTTCTTTTAGCTTGCTCTATTTTAGTTTTTATTTTTGGTAACCTGCAGAGTCCATAATGTGCCTACAGAATCTTGAACACACTGATTTTTTCTGTTCTAGGTTATTTTGCACTGTTTTCTCAAGTCTGAATTGTGTACTCATCCACTTGATTTGCTCTTGACTTGGCAAGATACAAAGCAGAGTGTAACAGCTTGGGTCACAAATGAGTGCAGATTTCTTTGATAGAAACACACACACACACACACACACACACACACACCTTCAGGAAAACTAATCCCTACCCAAAACAGCATGAAGCAGGCTTCTTTTAAGAAGAAAAAAGAATATGCTTCAGTCTGATATCTTTCAGAATATATTACTTTTTGGAAATGCTCATAAGAATACAAATAAATGTGAATGTGTCTTCTCCTCACCTTCCATCATGAAAGACTCCGTGGAGGGAGAAGAACCCATGGACTGTAGCAGCTCATCGGAATGAGACCTGCTTCTGCAGCTGTTACTGTCACTCTCAGACTCCAAGGATGTCACTGACCTCCTGAAGCTGGGAGGGAGAGAGGGCAGAGAAGTTAGTCCCAGGAGCCTGCCTGAGCCGTGAAGCCGTGAAGCCGCAAAGACAAACTGAGCCTTACCTTTCCAGGGTGGTGCCTGGAACACTTCTGGACAATGGATGGACCAGCCCTGTAGTTTCTTTCCTTCCCGTTGGCAATCCAATAGGCACGGAGGAAGAGGGGTGCAAGGAGATGCCAGGCTGTGGGATGTCCCTAAATGAAGAATCTGGAAATCAGAGCAGATGCTTCATGGGGTCTTCATAGAGCACAGTGCTTGCAAGTAAAGGTGGTCAGTTATAAGCTAGAAAGCTAAGCACTTGAACACTCACTTCTAATGAGTTGCATGCCCAACCTTGAATTCAGTCTCCAGGTCACATCTTGACACTTGAGTCAAGTGTCCCTTGCATTCCACACCCTCCTGACACCCATGCGGCGGGTCTGCTCCTGTATCCCTACCTGGAGACTGCAGATGTTTGGGATTGCACAAACAAACAAGAGAATGGAATGGGGAAACACAGGGCCAGCTTTCCCATAAACCACTGCCTCTATTCCTTAGAGCCAGCTTCAAATAGGTGCAAGGTATTATTAGCATGTGACTAGGATGCATAGCGTGTGTATAAACAAGCAACACACACAGAGCATGTCAATGGAATGTCAATGACGCTGGGGAATCTATTCTTTGTGGCATGAGGATCTCAGGCAAGTGCAACCTGCAAGCCAAGCTAAGCTGTTCTCTCTCACATATGGAAAACTAAACAGTGCCTCTAAGCTTTCCTGGTCAGTTTTAATGTGTTCTGGGTGTCAATGCATTTGCATTTGACATGTGCTATAAATGACTCTCAGAAAAGATTTCAGTCCTGTATTATGGCCATAGCATACAAATTCTCAAGCAAAAGGGGAACTACTTATATAGCTCCTAAGATAATACACATGTATATCCTAAGATTTTATCCATGTATGATGTAATTTTATTCTCATGACTCTCATATACAGAGGAGGAATATATGGTATTTTATCAATTCTACAATGCTTTCCATTTCAAGCTCAATTCTAAGAAAATAAGAACTGACTTACAACGGATATTAAAGACACTTGGGGTCAAGGCAAGGGAATAAGTGATGTCACAGCTGTGACTGCCTACACCAACTAAACCTAGTGCAACACCACACCCAGTAGCATATTACCACAAATTTGCATGCCTAATTGGCCCGATTGAGGTGGTTTCTAAAATATCAAATTGTAGCCAGGCTCGGTGGCTCAGCCTGTCATCCCGTGCCTTTGGGAGGCTGAGGTGAGTGGATTGTCTGAGCCCGCGGGTTCCAGACCCGCCTAGGCAGCGAGACCTCATCTCCACAATAATCAAAAAATCAGCTGGGCATGGTAGCGCGCGCCTGTAGTTCCGGCTACTGGGAAGGCTGAGGGGGAAGGATCGCCGGAGCCCAGCAGGTCGAGGCTGCAGTGGCCGGGAGCGGCAACTGCACTCCAGTCTGGGCGACAGAGTGAGACTCCAACTCAATAAAGAAATAAATAAATAAATAAATAAATAAATAAATAAATAAATAAATAAAAATAAAATATCAAGTTGTACTTTGTTACAGCACTGAAATGAAAAGTTACCATGCACTTAAAATTTCTGCCACGTGTCAAGCAATGCAACTTTAGGCAGAAGAAATTGTGAGATTCCCCCACAATAAAGCAAAGGATTTTCAAACTTAGGAGACATCGATGTGACTGGTTCTCACGTGCAATGTTAAAAACTGTCAAGGACCACCAATTATTTTCATGAGAAGTCACTTAAATTCCAGTAATATACAATTCAGAAAAAAAACAAAACCACTAAATTTTAAAATATGCAGACAAAACTCCAGTGTGCCTTGAAATTTCACTCATTCTAAAGGTGCTGATGAGATCACAGCCAAAACACAGGCCACCATAATCATGGATGACAAGGACTGATAAGAATCTGTGGACCCTAAACTGGAAGATTTTTTTTCACCAAACTTTGTGATTCTTATGATGAATGTGGTGTGTATTTGTATAAAGATATGTGCTACTGCTAGAAAAATATTTAGTTAGATACATTTCATGTAGTGTTTCTCTTTTCCCCCAAGAGATTATTAATAAATCAACAGAGCATATTCCTACAGACTGCATCTTAGAATGGAGGCAATATGGTACTACCTTTCCCTTACAACCTTACCTATAAAAGATCACATGGTACATACAACGCACAAGTCCTCAGGCTGGCATAGAAGTTTACAGCCTTCTTGACCACTTTATAGAACTAAAAATCATGCCAAGCCTATGTTATGAACGAAGAAATAATTGGGCAAATGAGAAAACAAAAGGAGGGATTTTTACAATGGAAAAATGTGTGGTATGTATTAAAATTTTTAAAGTTCTTGTCGTTTTCCACATCACTTACTTCCAAGGATGGTCTGTGGTTTGTTCTTGTTATATTTCTCTTGGAGTTTCTGGTAAAGAATATTAGAAACACAAAGTAAGATCAAAGCACCACTGGACTACAGGCTTCTTATCTCTTTCACTTTGGTTGTGATTTTATTTCAAAGAGGAATTCAAAGCAAAAGACATTAAATGCAATGAGGAGCAAAAGGTGATGCTAAAACGTGCACGTTAGGACAAAGGGGTGCCTCCTGGACAAGGGCCTCATGAGAACTCCCGGCTTCATGAACGCCTCAAGCTAGAAATCTCCAGCTCATGTATCTGGACCCAGGCTGAATTCCTATCAGTCTTTCTCTCTCTTGCTTCTTTCTACTCCTTGCTATTCCTCCTACCCACGGGAGACAACCACCTTCAGCACGGGTGCCACCTTCTAGGACAGGCCTCAACTCTGTGATCTGACACCATGTGTGTTTCCGTTAACAAAGAGGTTTGTCATCCGAGCTTCCCTCTGAAGGATCCTCATGCCCACTCACAAGTGTCTGACTCCACTGCGGAGTGGACAAGAAAGGGACAGGACCGCAGGGCCCTCATCCGCTCAAGCCCATTGGCCAGAACAGAGAACATTCTTCAAGGCCCATGGTTTTCAAAGTGAGGTCCCAGGACTAGCAACATGAACACCACCTGGGAACTTGCTAGAAGTGCACATTCTCAGGCCCCAACCTGGACCTATGGAATCAGAAATTCTGGGAGTGGGCCCCAGAAAGCTGCGATTCCTGGTCCTCCGGTGATTGTGATGTTTGCAGATGTCTGAGACTACTCTGATCTTCATTTAAGCATATCAGGGTCTGCACTGGAAAACCGAGCAGGTCTCAACAGAAAGCCTAACCTACCACACCACATAACACAGACGGCCTGACCTGAGCTTTCCTTCCATTTCCAGAAGTATACAGTTTAGTCAATAACTATACACCTTAAGCACGTGTTATGCTATCGCTACTATAATCACTTTAGAAATAAATCTAGCAGCAACAGGAAAGATTTTGTGAAAGCTCAAACAGAGAACAGAGGGCAACCAAGCTAGATACAAAGTCCACACATTCACAAGTGACTGAGCGATTACCTTGGTGCACTGAGGCATGGCATCTTTACAACCCTTGTGGACACTTGCATTACAGTCTGAAATAGAGGGACAAGACACAAAAGCACCCAGTTTACTGAAGTCAGTCTGAAACGAGTAAGACTCAATCGTGCTTTTATTGGCTGGAATAAAAATAGAACATAAACATGATGAACATCTAGAAAAGCTAATAAGGGAAATAGAAAAATATTTAAATCCCACATAACCCCAGCACACAAGCACAATATTAATATTTCCATCTCCTTGAGAGACTCTTTCTCCTTCTGTGCAGCGTCTTATCAAGGATAAAAGCTGAAATCATGCATGATACACACTGCTGGGAAGCGCCCGTGTCTGCCTGAGAATTCATTTCCTATTAAGTACACTACATTGTAAGGTAGTTCTGACATCTGGCTGGTAGCAGATCCCACCCTCACACCAGGTAACTGCCTATAACAATGGAAACAAAGAAAAAAAACTCCTATTATGCTGGAAAAAAATGTATTGTCAGCCTCTGGCAAGAATTTCTACTAACTAGAAACATGAGGTAGCCAAATTAACCGAGAAAAGTTAGCCCTGTGCCCATGACTTTATGTCATAAAACAATGAGGCCTCATTTCACTGGAGGGAGGTGAAAAAGACCTTTCCCTGCCTCTTTCTGATCTCATAGAAAGGTGGAGGAGCCTGGGTAGATCAGAAACTTCTGCAGAGGAGTCCTTCAGTGGTTTGGAAGATCTCATCAAAGACACATGGGGTACGTGCCAGCAGCCCACTGAGAACTGGGCAGAAAGCCGGACCTTGGAACCGTCCTCCAGCTGCAGGTCTGAAGAGGTGTTGTAGCCACCACCCCAGCAGCCAATGAGCGGGGCCAAAGGCTAACCTACACACTGGCCCTGCTGGTAAACATGGAAATTGGACAACTCCTCACTCCAGATCAAGTAAATAGAAGGAAAAGGATAAAAGTAGAAGCTGTAAGGTACCACAGAACAAAGTTATACTGAAAGCTTCCCAGAAGAGCAAGCCATTGAATACTAAATCCAGAAACAGAAAAGAAACTTTATTTGAAAAGTGTTCTTCATGAGCGATAGAAGGTGGGGCCTCAATGAAACAGACCACGAGGCCGTGAAGGAGAACAGGATGTGAAACTGGGCCAACAGAATAAGAGAAAAATGGAGCCTTGTGAGACAAGCAAGGACTCAAGGAAGGAAAAGGAACAAGAACAGAATTTAAACTCAGCTGAGAAGAATCAGTGTAACAAAGACATCAAAGCAGGGCTATGAAATTAAGCTCGATGGATTCCCTCCAGAATGTAGAGAAGCAGAAGGGTGTAGTTATACAACAGAAGATGTCATGTAAAGATGACAGATAACAGAGATCACACTCATCCAAGGAAGAGATCAGAAAAATTAGATCAGAAGCAATGACACACAAAGCTATATCAGACAAGAATTGTATAAAGCTGAAAAGCACCCAGAAGGGCAAATCCAAAGGTCTCACCGCTTTCTATGGAAAATGATTAACATATCCTGAAAATATCTGTCTGACTGAAAAAATGAAGTCCTCAAGGGTCTAGGCAGAAAAAGAGGGGTACCAACAAAGGAAGAGGGTCAGGCAGGCCCTAGACTTTTCCACTCTAATATTAATTGCCCAAATATATTGGACCATTGTTGACAGAGGAATGAAGCAAAAAGACTTTGGTCCAAGAATTTATTTAGCTGAGTAAGTCATTTTTCTTGTGTGAAAGAAACAATGCTATATCCTTAGGTGTAGAAACTTTCAGATCAAAATACCACTTTTATTTTATCCTACTGAGAGAGAATCAAGGATTCAAGAAGGGCTCAGCTGTAGTTAAAAAAAAAAAAAGGAGCAAAAGTGAGCATTAAAACCAGCTAAACAAAGAATCACACATCTAAAATACAGTTTGAAGTAGAGACACAGACCGAATAAAAATATCAAGCATTTTTTACAATAGAAAAGGATGCTTGAAACATTAAGCATACAATGTAAAAAGAATAATTATTAATTCAGAATATTAACAGAGACTGGGCAGGGAAAGGGTAGACATAAGGGAAATAAAAGAGGATTAAATTATTAGCATTCCACAGCCTTCGAGCTATCATTAGCCAATATTAAAAGAGCACATCTTGCCAAATCCCTGGAGAAGATAAAAGCAAACAACACATGGTCTAAATAGCTCAACCAGACATCAAGGAAAACAGCAAGGACCTATAAACTATAGTTGGTAGCAGTAAAATTAAATTTTAAAAAAACCCTTGTTATATAAAATACAATCTTTCATTTACATTACAGTTTACTTCTAGCTAAATTAAAGACAACATCCTAAACAAAAAATATGGAAGTAGATAAGGGAAATACAAACAAAAGAAAAGCATGAGGAATATTAAGTTTAGACAAAGTAAAATTTAATGTAAAAGATATCCAGGGGTATTAAAAGGGTAATTTTATTTTGATTAAAATTAAATCTGCAATGAAGGTATGACTTCTGTGTACCAGATAATATAACATCAAAATATAAGCAGTGAAGCTTATTTGTAAACAAGGAGCATTTTACAGAAGTGGAATTTTGCGGAAAATTAGCAACTCGGGCTCCAACAGAGGTAAAATAATGCCAAGATTTTGAATATTTACACAGTTATATGTTGTCTTATCTCATATCATATGCTTAATATTAGAAACCTTCACCATTAAAAGCAAAACCAATGAAAAGGATTATCTACCCAAAACAGCAGAGATTGTGCGTGTCATATTCTAGTATTCAGTGTAAAAATATTTAATTTTGAAATACTCAGTGATCTATCACAGAAACAAAGAACTGAGTACCACATGTTCTCACACATAAGGGGACCCTGAACAATTACCATAATACTGTAAGAAAGGAATTTGCAGTAGTGGGAAACTGCCAGGGAAGGGAATGGGGGGCGGGGGGACACACTGGATCAATAAGGGTACCCAATCTCAAACCAGGTGATGTGGGAACAAAGTGAGGCCCAAACCTTACCTGTACAATGACCGTTTGTATACCTAACCCTGAATTGTACTCCACATCTTTAAATAAAAATTTAAAAATGAATGTTAAAACAAAGCTTAAAACACCAATACTCCCTCAAAAAAAAAAAAAAAAACTGTAGGTCTTAAAACGATTTTATTATTTATTTTATTATTTTATTTCTTGTAATGACAGGGTCTCACAACGTTGTTCATACTGGTCTCGAACTCCTGGCCTTAAGCAATCTTCCCACTTCAGCCTCCTGAGTAGCTGGGGCTACAGGTGTGTACCACCATGCCCAGCTTTTTTTTATTTTTATTTTTTTTGAGACTTGGTCTCAACTATGTCGCCCAGGCTGGTCTCAAATTCCTGGTGTCGAGCAATCCTCCCACCTTGGCCTCCCAAAATGCTGGAATTAAAAGTGTGAGCCACTGCATCCGGCCTTAAAACTATTTCTTTAAAAAGTACAGGTTAAAGGGGAACTCAAATGTACACTTTGACCCACTCATACTGATTCTAGAATTTAAGCCAGTTATCAAAGATGTAAACATTGATATGTGCAAAAGAATGCTCATTGCCACATTATTTCTTTTTTAAAAATAGGAGAAATTTAAATGTGCAATAATAAATAAATAAATTTGATGTCAGCAGTAAATGAAACATGAGCATTAAAAGCTGACATCAGCTGGGCTCGGTGGCTCACCCTGCAATCCCGTGCCTTTGGAAGGCTGAGGTGAGTGGACTGCCTGAGCCCGCGGGTTCGAGACCCACCTGGGCAGCGAGACCTCATCTCTACAATAAATCAAAAAATAAGCCGGGCATGGTAGCGCACACCTGTCGTTCCAGCTACTTGGAAGGCTGAGGTGGAAGGATCGCCGGAGCCCAGCGGGTGGGGGCTGCGGTGGCCGGGAGCGGCCACTGCCCTCCAGTCTGGGCGGCAGAGTGAGACTCCAACTCAAAAAAAAAAAAAAAAACTGACATCATTTTTCATGATTAGGAGGGATCCATCCAAATATGAACAGTAATTTTCTCTAGATGGTAAAATTGTAAATGATTTAAAGTTTTTCTTTATAAACCTTATATCTTCCATGCCTACTATTTCATTTATTTTCTTTAACGAGTGGGTATTTAAAAAGCTAAATGTGTCCTAGGTACTTTCAGCAATTCCCACCTTCCACTCCGACCTCCATTACAATACACTTAACTCACTGAACCAACGTATTTTTTACTACAAAAGTTTAACTGGCAGTGAGTTCTACCTCTCTCGGTTTTGTCAGTTACTAACTATGCTCGAGTGACCAAGGGCCAGTTTTGGGAATGCTGCAGGGGCCGCCCAAGAGTCATCATGCCATCATAGTGCTAAACGCAATCAAAGTCTCGTTTAGAAGTTAAAACCCAAAGAGAGTGCACATGATCCGATAGTAAAGGAAACAGGGTAAACGGACGATAAAAGTGATAGGCAGAAATCTGGGCCACAGCGGTCGGGGAGGATGCCCAAATCAGAGTGAAAGGCCTGGGCTGGATCCACGCAGAGGAGTCGGGGACACTGAACCCCAGGCTGAGGGGGAGACGGAGAGACTGGCTGGCAGGTCGCCCACGAGGGAGCGGAGGGAACGCCCACAGAGAACGCAGGCTTAGCCCAGTCAACAAAGAAGAGAGACAGCCGCGCACTTCTGCTGAAACTGGGGTTTTGTTGGTTTCGTTTAGTTGGAGTCTCACTCTGTCGCCCAGACCGGAGGGCACCGTGGCCTCGCCCGCCGGGCTCCGGCGACCCTTCCGCCTCCGCCTTCCGAGGAGCCGGGACGACAGGCGCGCGCTCCCCCGCCCGGCTGATTTTTCGATTTATGGTGGAGATGAGGTCTCGCCAAGAGACTAATGTGGCAAAAGTACTGACCATCAGTTAGAGGTGAAAATGCCTGGAGAGAGGGAAACGAACACAATTCCTTCTCGGCAGTCCACGAGGTGGTGATAAGAATCCACCAGAGAGGTAACAGTGCGAAGGGAGAGGAACAAGCGAACCACGTTGACTGGGGGGACAGAAGGGAAGTAGAACTAACAAGTCAAGGTTTAAGCTTGTGGCTGCCACTGACAAGAGGGCAAGTGGCCGTAGGGGCCACCCAAGAGTCACCATGCCATGCGTGGGAGGGCAGCCTTTTGTGTGTGTATTCTGAGATCAGTTTCAGACAGTTGGGTCTGGGAGACAATGAAATCTCTGGGTGGTCATGCCCACATGAGGATCACCCCATAAGGCCCTGTGCTTACCACGGTCTTGGTTTACACCAGTCAGGCTACCATCATTCTCAAAAGTGGCCATAAATTACATACATAGGCAACTGCACATGGAAGTAGAAAGTGAGGCATAAAGACACCACCCTGGGAGGAACTGGTCTAAATATGGTATTTTAGGATGTAAGATTGGAGGACTATACTTAGAAACAATAAAGAAAAAGTAAACAAATATCCAAGAACTGAGTTTGGAGGGCACCCAGATTTAGGAGAAAGGCGACAGTCAGGCGATGGAACAGAAGAGCAGTGTGGCACAGAAACGAGGGAAACATCCACCTCAAAGAAGGGACGTCAGCATGAAAACAGGGAGACCAGAGAGTCTGACGATGAGGAAAGACTCTCAGACTTGACTAGAAAGTGGCCCAAGGTTCCCTCAAAAGCAGAACTTCTACTAAGCAGGAGGGACCGGGCCAAAATGCAGATTTTGATCGAGCGGCAGAGACGACATCGAAGCGGTCAGAGGAGATCACTCCGCTTGAGGAGCTCGTCACAAAATAGGGAAGGGAACGGTCTGGATTGTGGCTGAGGTTCCAGCTAAAGGGACCAAGCCCTGTGAATGAGGGTGGGGCGCAACCTGTGAGACATACGCCTGTCACAGATAAACGGGCTGCTGAAGGGTGGGCCAGCCAGACGTTATCCGTACACAACACGTAGAGCCGGGCATGGCAACTCACACCTATGATCCCAGGACTTTGGGAAGCCGAAGTGGGAGGACTGCTTGAGCCCAGGAGTTCGAGACCATCTTGGGTGACAGAGGGAGACCTCATCTTCACAAAATAATGAAACAATTAGCCAGGCCTGGTGGCAAGCCTGTAGTCCCAGTTGCTCGGGAGGCTGAAGTGAAAGGAACGCCTGAGTCCAGGAGGTTGAGCTGTGATTGCATCACTGTGCTCTGGCCTGGGTGACAGGGTGAGACCCCAACTCAGGAAAAAAAGAAGTATTAGAGCAAATAGCTAAAAATGTAGCACATTAAACCATATCTGAGCTTGATACTACTTCAGATCCAGTAAAAGAAAGAAATCAAGTCTTCCAGGAAAGCATAATCCAAGCCTGCAATAAAGCCGACACCATTAAAGTGTCAACAGTGAGAAGAAAACTAAATCTACCTTGAATGCCATTTGCAGACTGTATTTTCATCAAATGTACAGTTGTAGATACAACATTTACATTTTTACTTCAATCATTTTCTCGGAATTTAAGAGGAACTTGCCACGTAACCCACCCTGGTTCTTCTCTTCCCTTTGTTCCGCCATCCCACCTCCCAAATACCTCCCCAGTTCTGGCTACAGCAAAGACTATGGAATGTATTTCACCTGCACGGGTCTGAATTCTTTTTCTCTGAATTATTCTTTCAGTCAACAAATACTTACTAAGCACCTAGTAAGTAGCCACTCTGGATATAGCAGAGAATAAACTAAAAAATCCAGCTCCCATAGAACTTACAGTCAAGGAGATAAAGACAATAAAATCAACATGTTAAACGTATAGTAAATTTGATGGCGGTACATATTATAGGGGGAAAAATGAAGGAAAGAGACAACAGTCGAGCCAGGCACTGGGTGGTCAGGAAAGGAAGATTGAGAAGGTGTCCGCTGAGCGATCCGTGTGGTTACCCGAGGGAAGAGTGTTGCAGGTAGGAGGAACAGCCAGGAAAGACCCCGAGATAGGAGCGTACCTGGCATGTTCAAAGAACAGCAAAGACGCCTGTGTGGCTGGAGCAGAGGGAAAAGACAGAGAGAGGGAGATGGGACAGATCACAAGGAGCCTTGCAGCCATTGTGGGGGCTTTGGCCTGCACTCAGGGATATGGACTTATTGGAAGATTTTGAAGATGTCTTAACTAGCTCACACTGGCTGCTGCTTGGAGAACAGACTTTAGGTGGTAAGAGCACAAGAAGACCAGATGGAATGCTGTGGAAACGGTGGCTTTAGACCAAAGATATAGTAGTAGTAGGGGTGACAAGTGGCTGGGCTTACAAGTCTTTTGAAAATGGAGCCAAGAGGATTGCTGATGAATTGGGTGTAGAATGTGAGAGCGTGGGAGGTATAAAGATATATTTCAGCGTTGCTGGCAGGAGCACCCAGCTGGAATAATCCAGTTGACATTTACTGAGAGGGTCCGCTTTTCATCAGGCACAGGAGAGAGAGAACAGGAGCTCAGTTTCAGACATTTAACGTTTGAGATGCTCTTTAGACAACCAAGTGGAGATGTCAAGGAGGCAGTGAGGTATCCAAGTCTGGGGCTCGGGGAGTCAATCAGTTAAGGATAAAGTGTACTGACCAGCCAGTACCAGTCACGGCTTGGAAAATGTTTCAATCATATGTGTGGCACTAAAAAGCTTTGTGTAAACATATTAGCAATGACCCTATTCTCAAGAAGTTGACTGTCTGGGGAGACGAATTAGGCCTGAGGACTTACTAGAACATTGGAATGTCTCTTTCCCCAGGAGCGTTTTATCACAAACCGAACACTGTAGAACTCCAGAGAATGTTCCTGGGACAAACTGATGTCGATTCAGCTTCTCTTTGTCTTTGGCATCTTTGCTCTTTGTCTTCAGATACAGCAGCAGCAGGAAAGAGGGATGAAAGAGATAAAGAGAGATTCTGTGAGCTAGCCTTCTCACAGAAGTCACACAAGCAAAGTCTTCCTACTTTCCGTCGGAATACAAGGACTGCATACAAACACACACAGCAATGTCACATGTCATTCCCCGGGATGTGCTAAATTTCTAGTAACCAGAACAACGTCCCATAAAACGCATGTATGCATAAAACCTAAGTCAAGTGATTCTAAAGGGAGAGTGCAAACTCTACTATTTGCCGAGAAACTAAGCCTACGACAGTTTATAGAAAATAGGTGAGGAATCTTAATTACCTTGGATTTATTCCGAGGGCTTGTCATCCTGTTCATGAGGAAGCTGAAGGTTCGGCTCACTTTATATTTTTCAGACTCTGATTTGGCAGGTATGATGTATTTATCCCATTCTTCTTCCTGAATTCTACAAAAAGGAATCTGTTATCATAGCTTATAGAACATAACAGAGGAAGCAAAAGACAGTGTGTATCTATGTATGTATGCATGTATGTGTGTTTAAGTTTATATATGTGTGTGCATATGTTTTTTCAGGTTTTAATGATGGTTCTAAAGAGAAAGACAGAAATTTTATTAAAAATCCATCTTATAGATGGATGGATAGGTGAACAGATGTGATAAAACCACTATCTCACAGTTGTAGAAACTAAGTGGTAGAAATAGGATAGAATTCTTGCAACTTTTCTGTATGCCTGAAAATGTTCATAATTAACTATCGGGGAAATAAATCTTAGACTTACAATTTTACGCTGAAACAATTCACCTTCCTGTTTACTATGCTAGTAAGAATTCGTCAGGGCACAGAGAAACCCCCAACAATCTGAAGCTGGATTTTACTTATTTTGGGGACACAGAGATAAAACTCAGTAGACACATATTTCCTTTGTTGATACAGCCTGAGAAACAGACTATCTGCCTCTTGGTTCAGTCTCTCCCATTCAAACAGGCTATTTGTAATCTGAGACTCTCTAGGTCGTAGATGAGAGAGGGCTACGGGTATGACCCAAAATAAGAAGCTAGAGGCACCTGTACCCAATCCACAACCACATTCAACATCATTTATTTTAGTCTAATCCATATAATCATTCTCTAGCAAAAGCAAATCCAAACTAACGGGAACACAACTAAACTGTAACAAATAAAGTTAATTCTTGGTTACCCAACTCTATTCCCAATTCCCCTGCTACAAAAGACTATATCAAGAACAAAAGTTTGTATTAAACACCTAAAAACCCACCACAATTTACCATATATCACATATAATACTACATTATGATAGAAAAGCATATCACAATCTTTTAAGCTCAAAGAGAAATTACAACATAAACACCGAAATACTAAAACACTGAATATTAAAAACTTAGACACCACTCAACCTGATGGGAATGTGAATAGCATAGCCATGATTCACCATCAGATTACGAAGATGGGTAACAGTGTGTAATCTTTTTGTTGTTGTTGTTGTTTTTGTTTTTTTTTGAGTTGGAGTCTCACTCGGTCGCCCAGACTGGAGTGCAGTGGCCGTTCTCGGCCACCGCAGCCTCGACCTGCTGGGCTCTGGTGATCCTTCCGCCTCAGCTTTCCAAGTAGCCAGAATTACAGGCATGCGCTACCACGCCCGGCTGATTTTTTGATTTATTGTAGAGATGAGGTCTCGCTGCCCAGGCGGGTCTCGAACCATGGGCTCAGGCAATCCACTCACCTCAGCCTCCCAAAGGCGCAGGATTACAGGCTAAGCCACCAAGCCCGGCTAACAGTGTGTAATCTATGGTCAAATGTAGACAGTTGATTCCATGTTTCAAATGTAATTTAACTAAGTAGTATTTACCTATATAAAAATTAGATACTTTAGACAAGACCTGAGAAGAGAAAATCCTCAACTGATTTCACAACAGAATTTAAATAGCTTTTAAATGTGTAAGAATCTAGAAAGGTTAAATTATTTTCAACATCCTAGAAAAAGAATATCTAATTTCCTTTACTAATCTGATGACCAATAGAATCATTCACAATAAAGTTTTACAAGTCTCATTCTTCAGAGACTCTCCCAATAGTCCCTTTATAGGTAAACAGATATGCAAAGTGTATTAGAAATATTAATCCTTAATATTTTAACCCTTAAGCTATTATATCTATTTTATTTGTTTGTTTAATTAATTAATTAATTTTTAATTTGGGGTCTCACTCTGGTCGCCCAGGCTGGAGTGCAGAGGCATGCTCCTGGCCACCACAGCCTGGACCTGCTGGGCTTAGGCGACCCTTCCAAGTAGCTGGAACTACAGGTGTGTGCTACCACACCCAGCTAATTTTTTGATTTATTGTAGAGATGAGGTCTCACCATTTCTCAGGCTGGTCTTGAATCTATGGCCTCAGGCAATCTTCTCGCCTTGGTTTCCCAAAGTGCTGGGATTATAGGCTTTGAGCCACTGCGCCCAGCCTATTATAGCTATTTAAAGAACAAAAACCTGGACATCCACTATGCAAATTGAAAATTGAAATAATGGAACTTCTTTTAACAACCAGCCACCTAGACTTGAAGAAAAAAGAAGAGGAGGAGAAAGAAAATGGGTGTAATAGATTTAAGATAGATTGCAGTAATAAAATAACTGAGTCATGACATATAATCTTTAAGAAATTGGAATTGATGGAGCATCTGCTGAAATGAGACTGTAAGGTCTAGAGTGAGCTCCTTTTTACTTGGATGCATCCCTTTCTAGAAACTAAGTAAGCAATACAAATAAGAGAATTTCAAAGAAGGCAGCTCCTTAAGTAAACATCTACATGACCAAAGCAAAGCATTAGCTAGGGATCTTATTGGTGTCTCCAACAAGATAAAAGGAATAGAGTAGGTGAGATGTAAGATCTACTCTACTAGAAAAGCCAAATGAATGAGAGAATCAGATGCTTTCAGGATGTGGACAAAGAAAGATTAAAGAATAGAAAGGAAAAAAATCAAGAGTGATAGAGAATGAAGAATCAGAGAGAAAGAAACCCCATACACATTCCACCATCCGAGTTAAAATGTTTCATAGGCTACTATTTAGCCAAGTGTGACACTGACTCCTCCAGTCTTAAATCTCTCTAATGGAAAACAAGTATTTTTGATTTTTTTAAAAAACTTCATAATCAGTCCATTACTTCTCCCACTGAAAAGATGACAAGGAGAAGACAGCCAATCAAAATGACGATGAAGTTGGTGGTCAAATGTCAGAATTAGGAAGTGAATGGCTTAAATGAGGTAATAAACAGAAGCTGCTTAAAACACTACAAGGCACACAAAACCCAGCGAGTGTCAGTTATTACTGCTTCTGCCATCATCAGTCACCACCATCATCACATGTATCACTGTTCTCGCCGTGATATCGTCTTCACCACCACCCTATCGTTCAAGGGCATCTTTAGTCTTCCTCTGTTTGTGTCACTTGAAAGTTTCTGTTCTGGTTTCAAAAAAATAGAAAGGAACCAGGGGAGGTTTTCCTCCTTATTCACATTTTTATTTCAATATTTAAAACAAAACAGCCCATATTGGCCTACACATTAAAAGGTTTCAGAGTTTTAACATTAACATCACCAAAATTAAAGCCACTTTACTCTTTTTGAGATGGCCTTCTGAAGTCAAACATTTGTGCCATTTCTTCCACTTGTTTTGCTCATAACCCTGGGGCTATTTCACTGAGTTATTCAAGACCAACAGAACCCAACAATCATGCTTGCACACAAGACTGCTTCCCAAGTCTTATTCCAGCAATAGTTTTGCCTTCTAGGAAAAAGAGAAGCTTAGGCTTAAAGCTTTTTTAAAAGTTTTCAAACAGAGTTTACTTGTTTAAAAGTTTTCAAACAAAGTAAATTAGAATTAGAGAGGGAGAGAAAGAAAGATACTAGGTTTAAAGTTTTAAAATCTGCATACCACCCAGGAAACTGATCATGCTTAAAAGATTTCTGCATCGTTTATTCTTAATTTCAAACTAAATGCTGCTAAGCAAAAATTCACCAAGGGATACCAGGGATGTTTAGGAACTTTCCGTAACTGACCACCCAAGGGCCTGTTATTAGAGTTAAGTCCTCTTGTCTTGGTGGAACAGACCTAGTGAAAACCTGCTGTCTTCCTAAAGCACAGGGTCCTCACATTGCTCCCCCTTGGTCCTGTACCTTGGATGTGGTTGGCTTTGAAAATAACCCAAACGAATACCTAAGGACTGACAGGAGAGGGCTGGCGGTCGACACTGACACAAATCAGAGAGAGAGCAAAGAGTCTTAGGCTGGCTCGACATAGTTGGGCTTTTTCATGTAGGCTTGCTAACATTTTAATATAGGAATCGCTCACAAACTATGGAACAGATATCAAAAATAATGTACAGACATTTCTAAAGATGAAATCAAGTAGTCCCTCGGGAAAATTGAAACAGTTAAAGTACCTTTGTTCTCTTGGTGGTTCTGGTAAGCTGGAAGCTCTTTGCTCTACAAGACACAGAACAATAAAATGAAAACTAAGGCAGACAAACGAGCAGTCATGTGTTAGTCTGAAATGCACACTCAACCATATTTTATCATTATATGCACTACTCATTAGAAAATAATGAGAAAACAAGCAATTATATATAAGTAGGGCACTGCTCCAGATATTTTTTATCACTTTCCCTAGTTTGGAGAAGGGACGGGGGAGACCAAAACATGGCAAAATTTAATGACTTTATGAACTAAGTTAGCATCCGGCAAGGGAGAGCAAACATTTTCAGAAGTGCAGAAAATTAGTTCTATCTCTTTGGATACTCTTCACCAGACCTTCATCCTTTATTCATAAGACCAATCCCCCAACATATAAAATCCATACAGATCTTCACTGCTTTTTAACAAAGACCAAAGGAAAAATCCTGAAGGCCAGCATATGAGAGTCCATTTTAACAGAGCTGCGATGCCTTTATAAAATCCTAGCAGCAGCCAGTTCACAGATGGGCTTGATGACTCAGGGCAAAGGAAGAACTACCTTTCCCATTGCACTGTGGAAGGCAGAAGGTCAGGCTCATGCAAGCAGCTTAGCGGCCATCTTGTCTTCAGAACTGGAGGACTTACGACAGGGAGGGAGCAGAGACACCGATTAGGCAGTGAGAGGGACTGCAGGAGGGAGCGGCCACTGTGGAGCACACCATCGACAGAGCAGGGGCAGATCCTTTACCATTACAGTCCAGAACAGTGAAGGGGCAGAGCTAGGTTGCGAAGGGAAATGGGCCTGATACATCAGGAAAAGAGCAAACAAAAACCCTCTGAAATGGGTAACTACCAATGTTGTATCTAAGACTCTCTTCTACGTAATAGAAAGTCCACTTTGAAGAATTTGAAGGCTTTGTTTTATAGCCACTATTAAATGTTCTTCAAATTAAGTTAGGTAAAAATCATTATCCTTATTGTTAATAGACTGAGATACCAAAAGGATAAGCCACATATCCGAGATAATCAAGCTGCAAAGTAATAAACTCGGGCAACTGGACAAATCTAATAGGATTCCTTCCACCACTTCTCAACAACTTCCAAACATAAGTTTGCTTCACTTCTCAGATTCTTTTTTTTTTTTGAGTCAGAGTCTCACTCCGTCGCCCAGACTGGAGTGCAGTGGCCGCTCCCGGCCACCGCAGCCTCGACCCGCTGGGCTCCGGCAACCCTTCCGCCTCAGCCTTCCAAGGATCCGGCATTATAGGCATGCGCTACCATGCCCGGCTGAATTTTTGATTTATTGTAGAGATGAGGTCTCGCTGCCCAGGTGGGTAGCACACTTCTGTCCATCTTGGTGAGGTTGTAATTATTATTTTAATATTAGCAATATTCCTTCCTATCTAAATCCACAATGTACAAAAAGTATTTATAAAACTAGATTTTATTGTATGTATACAAACATTAAATAATGAAGTTGCCACCATTGTACTCTTGGCTCAAAAAAAAAAAGGGCATGAGAAATGACAGTAAGTAACCTTTTGAAAGTGACAATAAGAATAAAAAGGGCCGCAAGAGCAGCCTGTCTCTGCATAACTGTATCACAGCTCACAGATGAGAGCTTCCCACTGAGCAAAAGCGGATTCGAACTGTCTTCAAACAGCAAAAATTGGTAAGACTATTCAAAACTCATCAATAGAGGATTTACAGCAACACAAATGTCAGTTTGCTTTTGATAAATCTAAGCAAACTAAACAATGAAGCACTAGAATATGTGTTTGAATTAGGCAAGCTTTCACACCTGTGCTTTGATGACATCAATGCAGATGAAATTATCACTTCTTCATTAGGAGTTAGTTTATTCTGCATAGCCCTACATGGTATCGATCCAAACATTTGCAACCATACAGGTCTATCCACTGGAATCTTTTTTTTTTTTTTTTTTTTTAGTTGGAGTCTCACTCTATTGCCCAGGCTGGAGTACAATGGCACACTCATGGTCACCCCACTGTTGACCGGCTGGGCTCCAGAGATCCTTCCACCTCAGCCTTCCAAGTAGCCGGAACTACAGGCGTGCGCCACTATGCCTGGCTAAATTTTTTTTTTTTAATTTATTGTAGAGACGAGGTCTCACCAAGTTGGCTGGGCTGGTCTTGAACCCACTGGCTCAGGCAATCCACTGGCCTCAGCCTCCCAAAGTGGGAATCTTTGTATAATAAGTATGCATCCTCAACCTAAATTGGCTGATTGTAACTCTTACTTTCTGGATAGCTTCAAACTTCATTCAAATAGCCCTGTTTTTAAACACACTGTCTGAAGACAAGGTTTGATTTACAGAACAACTAAAGGAGTTGATGTCAGTTTTTTATTCTTCCTAACTCAAATGCAAAGACTTAAGGTTTGTATATAAGGCAAAACACCTTTCCTTGTTCGCTAAATAAATTAGGTCTCTTTTCTTGCAGTTCTCTTCTAATAATACATCTCATATTTTATGTCACATTTATCATCTTCACTCAACAGATAGAAAACAGTCCACTGCCTCTCAGCTATCTGGAAAATAATTTCAAACTTTAGAACTATGTGACTTCACACATCAGGGATAACACAAACATAAAGGCAAGACTATCATTTTGCACACTGCATGGAAAATGCAAACATATTTTCCAGACAGCAGCAGTATAAAATTATTTCACCAGCTAGGACAATCATTGAAAAGGTTTCAAGCTGCTACTAAAAGAAATCTCAACCTAAACTATGGGGGGCAACCGAAAGATCCTCAAAGAACTCAAGAAACAAACAAAAAATGCGGAACAAATTCAGTCCCTCTTCTTTATCCTGTCCTCCCAGTGTGGCTGTACCCTTTATTTCTCTGAAAACTTTTCTCCATCTTCCCATTCCAAAATTGAAAACTGACATTTACTATCAGTCTTGCTCTCTTCTCTTCGAATAATATATCTCAGAAAAAAGAAAAAAAAAACTAGCATTTCTTTTGCATTTTATATGTCACATACCATCTTTACTCAACAAATACTGTAAACAGTGATTGCATTTAAGTCATTGTTTCAGGATGGCAGTTCCAAGCACAAAAATAATTTTCAGTGTTGTCCCACATGGCATAAAAATGCAAAAAAAAAAAAAATTATAACAACAATGTAATAAAGCAAGAATAAGAAAAAAGGAAGAAGAGGAATAAAACAAATCCTACTGTAACTATGTATATTGGGAAAAAAATACACCAGAAAGACATTATCTAATACACTGACAGAAACTTCATTATATTGCTATCAATGTATTACATATTGGCATGAATCCTTTCAAATATGCCTTTAAATGTAATTATTACATAATATATTATTTATAGAAAGTATGAAGTAATGACATTCCAAATATATTGAGAATGGGGGCAATGGCTGACAGTGGCTGCAAGGAGGACTCCAAGGTGCACGTAATTATTCTATGTATAGACCTAAATTCACATGAAAATTCATCAAACTGCATGCTTATGACTGGCACTATTTGCATGTTCACTATATTTCAATCAAAAGTTTATTGTATAAAAGTTCTATTCTTAATTGCTTACATTGCAACAAAAAATGTTTAGGTATATTTACCCATGTTGCAAATATGATATTTCAACTCTCCAAAGTCCCTTGCTAAATAAAAAGGAAGAAAATCCATTTTGCAAATGCCTGGCTCTAAGGAGTTAGTTTATTATAGCAATTTACACATTGGGGCAAAAGTAATTTTTATATTTTTCTTAAATAAAATTCTCTAAAGTTCCTCACAATAATATACCTGGAATCAATTCTAGTTTACATTATCCTTGAGGAAAAAAATTTATTCAGAGAATAAAGCAACAGCAAGGTATGTATTTGTAATTGTATCAAACCAAATCTATAACTTGACTGATATCCAATGAGAAAAGAATTTTGCCAAGCTTAAAAAAATCAGTTATGAAAACAGGATTGAAGGTCCTTGCCTGCTGTGCTTGTATATTTTATGTACTTTTCTGCAACAGCATGTCTTCAAAGCCAGATGATAAATAATGCTTACCTTCACTTGAATTGCATACTGTCAAGTCACGCACCAACCGAGTTTTTCCTAAAGAAATTTTAGGTGATGAGCAGGAATAAGAACGTGAGCGGACTCCAGAAAGCAATGATTCCTAAAAGAGATCATAACAAAGTTGTTTAAAGCTTCTATGTGAGACTAGAAAGTATGTGTTCACCATGAATGTCACTAAATCAGCACCTTTAAAAGCAGATTCAACCTAAACACTTCTGATATAATCTGATTGGTTTTGGTTGCTTCTCACAACAATGTTGTTGTCTTTTAAATGCTTTAGTAAACTTGAGTTCTGGAAACAGTTCCTATGTACGCTTTAAAATGCAGGTATGACATTCCAACCAACTTGATTAAGAACGAAAACAAGTCCAATGACTGTTTCTCTGTACAGTCAGCAATGAGTTTGACATTATTTTGTATTTTACTTTGCTTTGTTATGTTATTTTTTAGTGAGGGTCTCACTTCATCACGCAGCAGGATAGAGTGCAGTGGCACGATCATGGCTCAGGGCAGCCTCAACCTTCTGGATTCAAGTGATCTTCTGCCTCAGCAGCTGGAACTACAGACACACACCACTACACTCAGCTAATCTTTTGGAGTTTTGTGGAAATGAGGTCTCACTCTGTTACCCAGGCTGGTCTCAAATTCCTGGGCTCAAGCAATACTCTCGCCTTGGCCTCCAAAGTGCTGGGATTACAGGCGTGAGTCACCATGCCCGGCTGATTTATGTATTTTTAATATTATTCCTTTTAAATGGTCTACCATTTTTGACTCCATTTTCCAATTATATATTATTTCTATTATTATATTGGTAACACACATGAAAATGTAAGATAACAAGTTCATTAAAAGATAATTTTATTACATATGCCATAAAATTTAAATAAATATACACTAGAATTCCACTAAAGCTATTTATGATACAGACCTTAGGATTGATCCTACCTATGCATTTTTAAGCTATCACTTAAGGTCAGGGCTAGAAAAAAGTGAAAATTTGGCTAGACATGGTACTCACACCTATAATTCCAGTACTTTGGGAAGCCAAGGCGGGAGAATAGCTTGAGCTCAGGAATTCGAGACCAGCCTGGGCAACATAGTGAGATCTTGTCTCTACTAAAAAATGCACATCCACAAAAAAAGTTAGCTGGGTGTGGTAGCTTAAGCCCAGAGGTCGAGGCTGTCATGTGCTGTGATCATGCCACTGCACACTCCAGCCTGGGCAACAGAAACCAAGACAAAAAAAAAAAAAGCAAAATTCTTGACTAAAATTGAGCCATCAGAAACTGACTTTCACAAGCACTGGTCTCTCCTGTTCCACCTAAGTGAAAACCCTTTGTTATCCTAAGTTCCTTGGTTTAGTTACAGACCTTGGAGATATGTTAAAGAGAGAGTTTCAAAGGGCCTTGGGCTGTGTCTTATCAGGGGCACCCACTGGACCTGGGTGTCAAGAAGGCCAACTCAAACTGTACTACAACCCTAACATGGAGGGCCCTAGCCAATTGCCATCTTCTCCATTTAAATAATGTGTGGTAATCATTTTTCATGACAATGGAATCTTGAAAACAGTTTAAAACCCTATAGCAAAAAGTATGCTGGATAACTATAGAGACAAGGCGAAATGTATTTATAGGACAAATTCTGCTTAAAAGTGAGCAACACAAAACTGTTTCACAAAAACTGAATTATTTTTCATCCTAAGTAATGATGATAATTCTCTTTAAAATCCAAAATGTATATACATTAACAAACACACCCGTTTCTTATTATCCGAAAATATCATGCAACCCTCAGGTTTAAAAGAGTATGAGCTCTACAAGTCTTGGAGTTGAGGAAAAAGGATCCAGGATCTCTGGTCAGAAGACCTCAATTTGAGTTCTGACTCTATCACCCAATGAGGGCAACCTGGACAAAACTCGAACCTTTCCAGAGCCTCATCTGCTCAAAAAATAAAATAAAATAAAAAGACTAGTTATGTCCTAGGTGAGTTATGAGAAAATTATATACTTTGTACGTACATAAAACACATTTTGCATGTCATAGGACATGCTACAAAAATAAGGCATTATCATGAAAACCACACGTCCACAGTAAGAGAAGTTTTGCCATAACACACATTGTTCTACAGTAGTAAACTTAATTAAGTAACTTAAAAAGTAAACAAGTGGCCAATAACAAAAATCAAATGGGAAGCAAACATACATTCAAACACAAAAGGGTTTTCTCTGCAAGAGTGGAAGAATGGAAGCTAACATCACACTGATACTCAAATTGGGTAAAGATCCAACAAAAAAAGAGAACTACAGGCCAATATCCCTTATGAACACAGATGCAAAAATCCTCAATAAGATTCTAGCAAGTTGGATCCAAACACACATCTCAAAAATCATCCATCATGACCAAGTAGGCTTCGTCCCCAGGATGCAGGGCTGGTTCAACATTCACAGGACCATAAATGCCATTAAATAAATCAACAGATATAAAAACATAAACCACATGATTATCTCATTAGATGCAGAAAAAGCTTTTGATAAAATCCAGCATCCCTTCTTGATAAAAACCCTCAAACAACTAGGTACAGAAGAAACATATCTAAAAATAGTAAGTGCCATCTACAATAAGGCCACAGCTAACATATTGCTAAATGGACAGAAACTGGAGACATTTCCCCCTGAAAACTGGAACAAGACAAGGCTGCCCACTCTCACCCCTCCTGTTCAACATTGTGTTGGAAGGCCTAGCAATAACAACTAGACAAGAGAAGGAAACCAGGGGTATCCAAATAGGAAAAGAGGAAGTCAAGTTATCCCTCTTTGCTGACGATATGATCCTATACCTCAAAAATCCAAAAGAATCTGTAAAAAACCTGCTTGCACAGATAAAGGACGTTGGCAAAGTCTCAGGGCACAAAATAAATGTGCAAAAGACATTTTTCATTCTTATACAACAATAAGCAGGCAGAGAACCAAATAAAAAGCACAATCCCATTCACAATAGACACACAAAAAATTGAAATATCCCAGCATCTTCCTAACTACAGCAGTGAAAGACCTTTACAATAAAAACTACAAAACACTGCTCAAAGTAATCCAAGAAGACACAAACAAATGGAAAAATATTCCATGCTCATGAATAGAAAGAATCAACATTGTTAAGATGTCCATCCTACCAAAGGCAACCTACAGATTCAACGCAATACCCATTAAGCTACCAACAACATGCTTCTCAGACCTGGAAATGACAATACAGAAATTCATATGGAAACATAAACGACCACGAATAGCCAAAACAATCCTTAACAAAAGAAACAAAGCAGAAGGTATCACATTTCCAGGCTTCAAATTTTACTATAAGGTTACAATAACCAAAACAGCCTGGTATTGGTACAAGAACAGCCATATAGACCAATGGAACAGGATAGAGATTCCGGAAGCAAAGCCTCAATTTCTCAACCATCTCATCTTTGACAAAGCCTCCAACAACCACTGGGGAGAGGAGCACCTATTGATAAATGGTGCTAGGAAAACTGGCTGATCACATGCAGAAGATTGAAACAGGACCTCTACCTATCACCATACACAAAAATTAACTCTAAATGGATCAAAGACTTAAACGTAAAACCTCAAACTATAAGAATCTTAGAAAATGCAGGAAATTCCCTTATGGAAATTGGAACTGGCAACCAATTCCTGATCAAAACCCTAAGTGCCCATACTATAAGAAATAAGATAGGCAAGAGGGACCTCATCAAACTGACGAGCTTCTGCAAAGCAAAAGAAACCATCAAGAAAGCAGGGAAACAGCCCACAGAACAGGAAAAAATATTTGCCAACTGTATATTTGACAAAGGCCTAACTAACCACTAGGATCTACGAGGAACTCAAACATGCTGAAAAGAAAAAAACAAACAGCCCCATTAAAAAGTGGGCAAAAGACATGAACAGACACTTCTCAAAAGAAGATACACAGGCAGCCAACAGACATATGAAAAAGTGCTTGGCCTCACTCATCCTCAGAGAAATGCAAATCAAAACCACCTTGAGATATTACCTCACTCCAGTAAGAATGGCCATCATTAATAAAACAAACAACAACAGATGCTGGTGAGGATGTGGAGAAAAAGGAACACTTCTACACTGCTGGTGGGAATGCAAATCAGTGCAACCTCTTTGGAAGACAGTGTGGCGATTTCTGAAAGAACCAGAAATTGACCTTCCATATGGCCCAGCAATCCTCCTATTGGGAATATATCTGGAGGAACTCAAATCATTCTACAAAAAAGATACCCGCACACACAAGTTTGTTGTAGCTCTATTCACAACAGCAAAAACATGGGACCAATCATATTGCCCATGGAAGTGGGACCGGATTTTTAAAATGTGGTACATATACACAATGGAATATTATGTAGTCATAAAGAAGGACAAACATACGGACTTGGCAGCAACTTGAATGGATTCAGAGTTGGTCATACCCAGTGATCTATCACAGAAACAAAGAACAGAGTACCATATGATCTCGCTCATAAGCGGACCTTGAACATTTATCATAATACTATATGAAAAGGATTGGCAGTAGTGGGAAACTGCCAGGGGTGGGGGTGGGATTGGCAGCTGAGGGAAACTGCCAGGGGAGGGAGGGGCACACCTCATCAACGAGAGTACCTGAATAATGAACATTTGTATACCTAACCGTGAATTGTACCCAACAGCTTTAAAAAAAAAAGATTGGAAGAATGTTTTTAGTTATTTAAAAAGCAAACACAACAAAATGAAACTCCAATGTGAAATTGTCAACAAGAAAAAACCAGGTTCCCATGGAAAAGCTGACAAGCTTTATGATGTTTCAGGTGGCTTCACACAGCCAACAGTGCTCAGTAAATACCACCTCTACCTTAATGACATCTCTACCTCATCACCAGGTACATATTTATGTGAGAAAAACAAGTCTGATCACTTACACTCATTCAGTACTACCAGTGTCTCCAAATGCACGCAAAAGCAACCTGGAGAGACATGGGCAGCACAGGTGAGCACAACCCCTGCAGTTGCTGCTGCCTTTCCTAGAATGTTTCAGGAAAGAAAAAAATAAAAGTATGACCAGTGTTTCTCCCTCTGCTTAAGAGATGACAGTAGACATAATTGTATAAAAGGGTAGAATTTTCCAAGTATGTGAAAGATGGTAAGTACTCACGTGAATTAATGAAAACAGAAATCCCTCACTACGAGAAAGGACCATAAAGACTAAAACAGAGTGGGAGAGAATAAAAAGGCAGACTCAACAGGTATCCCATGGGTCTCAAAAAAACCCCAAAACACCTTATATATGTGAATAAAACCTAACTTGGCTTTCAGATCGAGAGGGATAGATGCAGACAACACATTCTCCAGACTTACGTACCTTCAACTGCAGGTGACTTGCGAGAGAGAGTGACTCAGCCCTGGAGACGTTAAAGTCCGGCTCAGTGCTGGCCTCAAAAGAGTCCCACTCGTCTCTGCTGGGAATCCCAGTTCTGGAGGAACTCTGAGACACGGGGGTGTAACAAGCGTGTGACTGCTCCAAGTGCCCTTCCCCCTCACTGTCAGCATCCAAGGCATCAAGGCTAGAACTAAGGCACAAAGCAGGGAAGTAAGGACAGACGTCAACAGTCGAGTCAGCACAACAGAGTCACTGGTTTCTGTTTCTCTGGATTTAGATTCTTTCACTGGTGTGAGATCCAATGAGTATTCATTTAATTTCCAATGAATATTTAGTTTTTACTAGCTTCTTCTCTCTCAAAATACTTATTGATTCACCGAGTCATGGTCTCATTCTTTTGCCCAGGCTGGAGTGCAGTGGCATGGTCACAGCTCATTGCAGCTTCCAACTCTTGGCTCAGGCGATCCTCCCATCTGAGTAGCTGGGACTACAGGCACATGCCACCATGCCCGGCTAATTTTTATTTTTGTAGAGATGAAGGTTCACTATGTTGTCCAGGCTGGCCTCAAACTCCTGGGCTCAAGCAATTCTTCAGCCTCAGCCTAGGTCTAGGATGACAGGTGTCAGCTTCTGTGCCTGGCATCTAAATTCCCTTTTAAACAAAATTACTTGTTACCCCAAATGAGCATTTCTACTTAGTGAAAGCCATTTCAAGTATCTGAAGACACAAAAGGTAGTCTGAGTTAGTATTAACTTCACCCTTTCTGTTTTGTCAATGTAATTATTACAAGTTCCAGAGAGCAACCCCTCAATTGCTTAAAATCATACCAAACAGAGCGACTGGGCCATTTGGAGGGAAGCCTTGGGAGATCTGCATGTGAGGCTATGCGGCAAGGCGCCCTCCTCATCCAACAGCTGGGAGGCTCAGAGGGCGGAGGCGCCCCAAGGATGGTGTGAAGGTCTCACCTCAGAGTCGTGTCAAGACTCAGTTCAGAGGGAGTCAAGCACGGTCTCAAATGCGCCATACAAAGTGACCATTTTCAGTGACTTTAAAAAACGATTCCCATGAAAAATCCACCTCAGAACCAGGTAGCACTTCTACTTGACAACAACTTTTCTTTCTGCATTTAACTTTCATAACTATAACATTAAGAGGAAGGAATTTGACCTCCCACATTCCAGGTTCATTCAAGGCCAACAGCTTTCATGGGCATGTTAATGCACGATACGGTTTTAACTGTATTTTTTGTTGGTTGTTACAGTTCTGGAATTAAGATTTTAACAATACACTAAAACCCTCTTGATTCTGAAACACAGAGAACTAGAAAAATGAATCTCTGAATTAACCCATTTATTGTATTTTCCTTAAAAGAAAAAAGTAGTCCACTTAGTGGATACAGAGAATCTGTTCAATAAATTATATGACCCTCAGAATAGAAGTCTGTAGCATCTACAAAACTGTAATTCACAAAATAGAAACCTAACGTAAGTCTTTTATTATTTATGTATCAGACAATACCTGTTACTTAAAGTTTTACAATCTTGAGTTGTATATCAATGCAAAATATAGCACAATGATGGGCACCTATTGATTGGTTCCTCTCTCTTCCTCTCTTCTAATCCATTAATTCTCTGCTGAATATCCATTCACTTACATGAATGTTCATTCACAGATAAATATTTATGTATACACTCAGATATATGCATGCATTCTATTTTCACTTTGGTTTATAATTTTATATGTGAAAATGAACATATAATCACAGGGCTAGGACATGGGTGGGGAAGATAGGCTAATCCCTAAGGAAAGCAGTCAACAGGATAAAATGAAATGCGTAGAAACTGGCCTATTCCCTAAAGAAAAGAGACAATAGGATGCATAGACAGATAGAGATATACATATCTGGACACACACGCATGCAAAAACACACATATATGCAATCGTATCAGATGCAATGAAGCTATTTTCTTAATGACATTTTTACATATATAAGGAAATACATGTGAGGTAACTGAAAGTAATATAAATTTCATATTGTAGTATAATATAAAATAAATACATAACTTTTAAAAAACACCTATGAGCCACAACCATGAACAGTGGCCATCCCATGGAAACGCTCTTGTAGTCCATTCCATTCCTATTTTTCTACTTCCCTCCCTAGATGTAATGACTATCTTGAATTTAGGGATTCCCCCCCCTTTATTCTACTGTTTTTCTTTATAGCCTATGCACATGTGTAGGTGCCCTATAATAATATATTGCTTGATTCTGAATTTTATAAAACTGAAATCTAACTAAAGTATTTTGTGGCTTACTTTTGTTCAACTTCAAGTTTCTGATATCCATATTACTATACATGTAGATATAGTTGTATTTTAATCATTTCATTAATATACAGTATTCCATTGTGTAACTATATATTGTTTAGTTTTCTATTCCATATTTGGGTGATTTCAGGCTGCTATAAATACTCATGTATATGTCTCCTAGGAAGAAAAGCACATTTGACTTTACAAGACAATATAAAGTTATTTTCCAAAGTTGTTCTACAATTGTCACTCCTGTCAACTGTATGTAGGAGCAGCATCTGCTCTCACACCAAAACATGGTATTGTTAGACTTCTTGATTTCTGCCAATCTATAAGTGTAAGTTGGTAACTCCGTGTGGTTTTCCTGAGTTGGTTACTTTAGTCAGTCTTCTTAAGTCTCTCATTTCTAATCAACAAATATAGGAACCTAAAAAGGGGTAACATTCTGATGTAGAGATAAAAAGTCGTAGAAACAATTAAAAAAACTAAAAAACAGAATTTTCATGTCTAGCTGCAAGGTTATTTGACTGTCTACAATTTTCCTCTAAGATATAGTACTTACCTTCTTTTCTTTAGGTGACTTTTCTCCTTTTCGAATCCATGCAGACCCAAAGAAAGATTCAAGTTGGAAGCACATGAAGTAGACGGCGACATGAAGGACCATCGGGCCTCAGTATTTGCCGTCCCTTCATTGTTCTCACTTAACGGGTGCAACCCGGGGCTGGTGTCAGTAGGAAGGATGTGTTTGCAGCTCTGAGGCCCCAAAGTGGAATCCATGGATCCAGGGCTGGTGTTGGCATTGATTCCCTCTGTATTAATATAGTTGACATTCAAATCGCCAATCTGCAAGTTGAAAAAAATACATTTCATGAGCAAAAGCAACTAAGATTGGTTTAGCTAAGAATTAATAAAATTTTCCCAATTTAAAAACTTTCCATCTTATTTACCTTTTTTGTTTGTTCTTGCTTTGTCTTATGTAAACATATTATGTTTCTGTTCACAGGGTTGCTCTCCCATAATTCACAACAAGGAAGAGGACAAACTGAATGTTTTATAAAGTTGTTCTTTATTACAAAACCAGAAGCTGAATATGCTTTTAAAGTGTCATGAACCACTGACTAAAAATGTTTTAAGAACTTAAGAAAAAAACTAAAGTGCATACAGCTTTATTCCAGAACTAGTTCATAGGAATATGGTTAACCAAGGTACTAGTGGTGATATAAATCTATGTCTAAAATAAATAAATAAATAAAACTACATAAAGTGCCTGTACATAGCATAATTAGAAGACACAGTGCTCCAAACCTCAAGTGACCTGTAAGTGATATAATTAACATAAAATCCAGCAAGCCACCCTTTGTGTTCCTGTCTTAAGACGGAAGAGAGGAAGGGCAGCCTGGGAAAAATCTGAACAGCAGAGAGAGAAAGGAGCAAGTAGAGAGCCCAAAAGCTAACTAAAACCATCACCAGAAAGAGAAAGCCCAGCCTACATGCATGAAAAAGAGTTCTGGTTGATCAAAACACTTGCTCTAAGAAAGGGGTCTAAGCCGGGTTCGGTGGCTCAGCCTGTAATCCTGCGCCTTTGGGAGGCTGAGGTGAGTGGATGGCCTGAGCCCGCGGGTTCGAGACCTGCCTGGGCAGCGAGACCTCATCTCTACAATATATCAAAAAATCAGCCGGGCGTGGTAGCGCGTGCCCGTAATTCTGGCTCCTCGGAAGGCTGAGGGGGAAGGGTCGCCAAAGCCCAGCAGGTCGAGGCTGGGGTGGCCGGGAGCGGCCACTGCCCTCCAGTCTGGGCGACAGAGTGAGACTCCAACTCAAAAAAAAAGAAAGGGGCCTAAAAGTACTTGTGATTTGCGATGGCAGCCATTAAAAGGCATCACTTCTGGGGAAGAAGACAGCAAAAAGGAGACAGGGACACCATTTAGAGATAGGGCAATGAAGGGGGAAAGCTGCAAAACGGGATTTAAAAGAATTTTAAATCATCATATATCATCATCATAATTTATTAAGGTTAAACCATCAATGAATTCCCAAACTAATGGGTGAAAGTCTAATGAGTAATAGGATATTTACAGAGACTCAAAGTATTTCCCAACAAGAAGCTTAATAATTTAAAAAAAAAAAAAAAAACCACACAGCAATTTTACTAAAAAGAAATCCTGTATGTTGAAGATACAGTCACCAGTAATGGACAAATTGATGTCCTGTATCTCCTGATATAATGCACTAAGAGGAGCTCATCATCATTTCCATAGTATTCCTGCCAAACACACGTAGCCTGAATCCAATGATAAAAGAACAGCAAGCAAACCAAAATGGAAGGACATTCTAGCAAAAGCAAAAAAACTGGTCTGTCGTCCTCAAAAATATGAATGTCATAAAGGACTAAGACGGAGGAAACGCCCCAAGATTAAAGGACACTCAAGAGATATTACAACTGAGTGCAACACGTGTGCAAAGGAATTTTTTTTGGGGGGGGGCCACAAAGACCATTATTGGGACAACGCGCTAAACTTGAATAAGGTTTAGAGATAACTAATAGTATTGTTATCAATGACACACTTCTGGTTTCAGTAACTATACTATGCTTTTACGCAAGAGACTGTTCATGTTTTAGGAAAAGGCACCATGAAAGATTAAGGGGCAAGGGGACACCATATTTTTAATGTATTTTCAAATGATTAAAAAATATTTACATACGTATTTAACCATTTGTATACAATACACAATCAGAGAATAAAGTGAAATGTGGTCAAATACTAACATTTGAGGAATTGAGGTAAAGGGTATATGGGATTTCTTTATACTGAAATTATGAAAGTAGTTTATGTAACAGTACACTTTCAAAGTAGTTTCCATCATGTGAATTTTCTCATTGGGTAAATTTATAACCTTGAGAGTTAATGAGAAATAGCAGTATAAACTAGCAATATTTTTAGGCTGGGTGTGGTGCTCAGACCTGTAATCCCAGCACCTTGGGAGGCCAAACTAGGAGGGCTGCTTGAGCCCAGGAGTTTGAGACTAGCCTAGGCAACATAGCAAGACCTCAGCTCTGGAAAAATAAAATAAAATGAAAATTAGACCAGCATGGTGGTGCATACCTGGGGCCTCAGCTACTCAGGAGGCTTAGGCGGAAGGATCGCCTGAGCCCAGGAGGTTGAGGCTGCAGTGAGCTGTGATCGTGCCACTGCACTCCAGTCTGGGCGACAGAGTGAGATTCATCTCAAAAGAAAAAAAAAGACTAGTGATGTTTTTAGGTTTCAGGGTGAGGACTATACTACAAACTTTGTGATTTTGATGCAGATTCAGTTTTACTTCTTTGTTTTCATCACACAAATTTGGCAGTTTGGCATATTTCGGTTTATTGAATTAGCCTGTTTGAGTTCCTTTTCAATGCATTGATTTTTTTTTTTTTTTTTTTGGCTTCACATTATTCAAGCAATACTTCTCTCACTCAAAATATTCCCAAACAGAAATTATTTTCTAACCTCATCTGGTTTGGTAAATTTTGTATGTTAACGTATCTTAAAAACATCCAAAAACATTGTTTTCCTCACATGAGGAGTCATTTATAATTTAGTTACTTGAGGTAAACAGAAATGCTATAGTAGTTACTAAAGTTCAGAGGAAGAATAAGGACTCAAAAAGTATTTTATTTAAACTGCTAAGAAAATATGTTAACAGAAAAGATCCATTAAAATCTGAACATGGCAAAAATGTGTACACTAAAAACAAACAATAAAACACTGATAAAAGAAATTGAAGACACAAATAAATGAAAAGACATCCTGTGTTCATGGATTGGAAGAACTGATGTTCAAAATCCATACCACGCAAAGTGATCTACAGATCCTACGCAATTCCCATCAAAATTCCCACTGCATGCTTCATTACAGAAATAGAAAAAAAATCTTAGAATTTGCAAGGAATCACAGAAGACCCAGAATAGCTAAAGCAATCTTTAGCAAGGAGAACAAAGCTGGAAACATCACACTTTCTGATTTCAAATTATTTTACAAAGCTCTAGAAATCAAAAAATATGGAACTGGTATAGGGACAAACATATCAGTGAATGGAAAAGAACAGCAAGTACAGAAATATACACACAAATATGGTTAACTAAACTTTGACAAATGCACCAAAAATATATTAATACAACAAAGAAAGGATGGGTCCTTCACTAAAAGATCTAAGAAAACTGGATATCTACATATTTTTAAAAAATGAACCTGGATCCCTATCTTGTATCATACACAAAAATCAACTCAAAATGTAGTAGACTTTAATGTAAAACCTGAAACCATAAAACTCTTAAAAAAAAAAAAAAAGCATAGGGAAAACCTCCATAACATTGGTGTTGACAATGACCTCTTGGATGTGACACCAAAAGCACAAAAGAAAAGTAAAGAAATGGGATTGCACCAAACTTAAAAGGTCTCTGCACAGCAAAGGAAACCACAAATTAAAAGACAGGCTACAGAACAGGAGAAAATATTTACAAACCATGTTTCTGATAGAGTTAATACCCAAAATACATAAGAAACTCAGATACTATAAGAGCTAAACGGACAAAAACGGGCAAAGGACCTGAAATTTTCCAAAAAGGTCATTTTCCCAAAAATGGCATGCGAATGTCCAAGAGGTATATGAAAAGGTGTTAAATATCACTAATCATTAGGAAAATGTAAATTAAAACTATAATGAGATATTATCACCTCACACCTGTTAGGGTGGTCATCACCAAAAATCAAAAAAATAAGTGTTGGCGAGAATATAGAAAAAAGGGACTCTTGGTACACTGTTCACAACAGCTAAGATATGGAATCAACCTACGTGTCCGTCACAGATGAACAAAAAAAATGAGATGTGTGTGTGTGATTTTTCTGCTGATATAGGAAAGAAACAAAGTGTTTTCTCTATTCTCTTATTCAACAATCAACACAGAGCACCTCTGTGATCAAATTGCGGGTTTTTTCCCACACACACCAGGCAAGCAAGCCTCTAATTCAATTCAGTTTTGACACTATAAACCTAGAGACGGTATCAGGTCCCACAGGCTGAGGGCCCTGTCCCCTAAGACTGCACTCCACTTCTGATGACAATCACAAGCCGCAGATTGTTTCACTGACCATCTATAAATTGGGGTTCCCACAGCCCCCTCCTCAGGTTTCATTAATTTGCTAGCCCACATAACTCAGGGAAACACTTTTACTGGTTTATTATAAAGGATATCACAAAGAATACACATAAGCAACCAGTTGGAAGAGATGTATAGGACAAGAAAGGGGGTAAGGGACAAGAAGCTTCCATCCCTCCCCAGCATGTCACCTTCCAGAAGCCTCCACTGTTAAGCTATCTGGAAGCTCTCACTCCCAGGCCTTTTGGGTTTATGGATGTTTCATTACATAGGCATGCTTGTTTAAATCATTAGCCATTAGTGATCGACTAAACTTTCAATCCTCTCCCCTCTAAAGGACTGGGGTGGGGCTGAAAGTCCCAATCCTCTAATCCTGTCTTGTTTTCCCTGTGACCAGCCATCTCCTTAAAGCTACCTAAGGGTTGCCAGCTACCAGTCATCCTGTGAGCAAACAAAAAGACATCATTCTGGAGATCCCAAGAATAAATACAGTCTGACTTGCTTAATAGGAGGATATGCTTGCAGAAGTGCATTCTTCGGTGATTTCATTGTTGTAAGATCACCATAGAGTGTACCTATACAAACCTAGATGGGACAGCCTATTGCTAGGCTGTCCGATATAGTCTGCTGCTTCTAGGTCATAAACCTGTGCAGAATGCTAGTGTACTAAAAAACTGTAGGCAGTTATAATACAGTGGTAAGTATATGTGTATCTAAACAGAAAAGGTACGATCAAAATATGGTATTATAATCTTATGGGATTACCTTTGTATAGGAGTATGCAGTCCATCATTGACCGAAACATCGTTATTTAATGCATGACTAGATATTTCACAAATATCACAGAACACATACACACACACACACACACACGAATATTATTCAGCCTTAAAAAGAAGGAGATCTTGCCATTTTCGATAACATGGATGAATCAGAAGACAAGTTAAATAAGCCCTAATACAGGAAGATAAATACTGCGTAATCTGACTTCTATGTGGAATGCAAAAAAGTCAAACTCATAGAAACAGCAAGTAGAAGAGTGGTTTGGTTACCAGGGCTTAGAAGTATGGGAGAATGGTGAGATGATGATCAAAGGGTACAAACTTTCAGTTATACAATGAATAAGTTCTTGAGACCTAATGTACAGCATGGTGACTATGGTTAGTAATAATGCATTCTATACTTGCAATTTACCAAGACAACAGATCTTAAGCATTCCCACCACAAAAAAAATGGTGTGTGAGTTGATGCATATGCTAAATTAGTTTGACTGTGGTCATCACTTCACAATGAATATTTATATAAAAACACCACACTGTATACCTTAAATATATGTAATTTTTATTTATCAATTATACTTCAATAAAGCTGGAAACTAATTAATTCATTCACTGATATCAGAATATGGTTAGCACACACCAAGTCCAAGGGCACCCCATCTTGAAAGAATGTCCTCAGAACTCCTACTTTGTCTTAAACTCCATGTCTCATTCTAGATTTCTATAACTGTGACTGATTCAGTTTGTTTATACCAAAACAACTATACCAGTTATTTACAGCTGATGTCCATTTCAATGTATTGGTTTTTCTGTCATTATGAAGACCATCCCAACCTATGACATTTATATTATGTGTTTGATGTAATGATGCTTTATAACATGAAAGGAAAACGCAGAGATGTTCAACTAAAGGGCTGAAATTGAGATCTATCAGACACAAAAAATATTCCTATCATATAAAACATTTTTATAAGTAATAGGGTTTAATATATGCATAATAACAACAACATAAAAAGGTAACATGCCTTACTGCCCAATGAGAGAGAGTGTGTGTGTGTTTATATATATATATATATATATACACACATGTGTAATATACATATGGTGCATCTTATATGAGGATTAGACTTTAAAGTCAGTAGATAATTGCAGAAATCGTGTGCTGTCAAGATCCTTTGAAAATTCCTTAAATCATTGGTAATTAGGGTGCAGTGAAATCTCCAAATCTATATATTTTAATTTTTATAAACACTAAAATTTGAGGATCACTGAGCTAGAGAAAAGAACAAAAGGCAAGGAGATGTTAGTACACTCAAACCATTTGCTTCTATGAGATTTAACTCAAAGTCTCTATCAGGGAATGGGTGGAAAATCTTCAAAGGATCCAGCTTCTCTGTAACATGATAGCATTCTGTTTTGAAGGCAGAGCTCTGGTAACCCCTTCTGTTTTCTGTCCTCTCAATAAATCCTGCTTTCTCAAAAAAAAAAAAAAGAAAGAAAGTAAAGCTCTACCACTTGGACACATGTTAACAGATGTGTTGGAAGGATTAAACAAAATTTAAGTGACAGCATCCTATGGAGCTGGGACCCAGCGCCTGTTCATCACCATTTGCTGGATTGGAAGACAAATCTTGCTCAATCAAGTCACAGGCACATTGTTTTTGAAAAGCTGTGAGAAGATATTAGCTGCTAGTTGTCAGTTCTTACTGTGGCCCCACTGAAGAGCTCTCACCCTCCGACCATCTGGCAGTGTCTCAAGACCCCTCCCTGGCAGTGATTTCTGTTCGGGTGAGGCACGTTGCATTCTCAAGGAGCGGCCTAAGTCAAATACTCGTACAATGAGACTCCACGGCAGCATCCCTTCTGCTGCTCTTAGGTGAAAACTGTCAGAGGAACGCAACAGTGCTGACTCTATTCCTCACGTGCTCAGGTTTTAGGGAGGGGCAGAGATCTACCTGGTAACGTCAGCGGTGGCCTACCTGATCAATCACCATACAGTTAGCATAGACTTCATCACCTCCGTTCAGCATGTCAGAAAGCTGGCCTGCAGCAAACAGCGTGGAGGGCTGCTTGGACTTTTTGAGGACAGCAAAGGAGCGATCTAGAGGAAAGAAAAAAAAGAAAACAGGACAATTATGTAGAAGATATTTGTTCAGTCAAGCTTTACTTTCTTGGTCTAGCCAAAAGAAAAAAATCAAGAAGGCACTTTTTAAAAAAATGGCATTTTGCTGTCTTCACATTTTAAGACCCACATGCAAGTATTTTCTCTTCTACACCCAAACCCTCTCAGTTATCTAGAACCTTCATGTAGAATGAATAGTTTGAAATAGATAAATATTTGTCCACTTCAAGCACCATTTTCCTCGTCCCTAGAGGCCTCTGTGAAATCAATGAGATCTTTGCCTTCAATTTCTACTAAATTAAACTAAATTTCACTCCTCTTTATTAATAACTTGGGCGCATTAGTGACTGTACTGTGATACTCAGGCTTCACTGATGTGTTCAGACTCAATGATCCTTGACTAAAGAACCCCAGAGAGTACAAAGAAGAGCAGTTCTGGCGAGGTCCTGCTTGCTGAGCATGCACAATCTCACACACACAGAGTCTGCCGACTATCTTAATGACAGAGATGTTCTGCATGCTTCCTATGTCCTTCGCTTTGCTCCAAACGGATGCTCAAAGTTGAGTCCCAGAGAGGTAAGATGTTACTGTAATTGAGGGAGTGAAGAGTTGAACGCAATGAAACATAGTCAAGCTAGAAGGCCTTATTTCTGTGACTCTGGCTAATTTACCAAGTCTCCAGATATCTTCACAAAGTTTCCTCATCCATAAAAGCAGATTATTATTATGCTTTCCTCATAGGGCGATTATGAGGATTAAACAAGTTCAGACATGTAGAGCGCTTGATACATGCCTGACACTAAGTGCTCAGTAAATATTATTTGTCACTACCATTATTATATTTGTTAGTATTATGCACAGTAATTTTTAGCCATGTTCAGTGTAAAGTGTAAGATGATTAATACTAATCATAATACATTATACTAATAACAGATCGTTAATATTTGCAAATGACTTTAACAGGGTAGATCCAAAGTTACATCCATAGTAAATGTCATCTCACATTCCAGTAAGTCTTCTTGAGTAATTACTAAAAGATTGTGTTGCCACTATTCCACTAAAAATCGCACAGGTCCCACTGCCTGTCTTATCTATGCCACAGCATAAAATCTGAGGAAGCCCATGGGAGTGAATCAAGAAATGAAAAAACTGTCACAGCTGTTAAGCTGACGTACCTGAGCAAGAAATTCTACTCTTTCATAGAGGTCCTGGATGACATTATCAAAGTTTCAAAGATATATGAATCGTACAAGCCAAATGGCCCTGACTTCCCACATCTAAATCTGCTCAATATTGAAGTGATATTTTATTAAGCTTTTTGAGGAAATATGCAGTGTAAGAGGAAAAAGATTTCTTATACACATAATGGATTTTATATCAATGTATTTAAATAGCTAGCGATATAATATACAAAGCTCACAAATACTTCACAAGTATAACCTTTATGATCAATTACTATACATCTTAATTATAATCACACAAAAGAAAAGCAAGGTTCCAAAGGTCATAAGTCAAGAACCTGACAAAACACTTTCAATATGTCCTTAGGTTAGAAAATACTTGCTCATCTGTCATTTTATGTAATGTTTTAAAAACAGTCATTAATAGCTCAGCATGGTCTTCTGAAGTGTTATAAGTCCAGTTTCACTGCTCTCCAGTGGCACAGGTTCACAGACTGTAAACACCTGGTATTTCTGCCATCACATCTGTGAGACTGTTCATGTTCCTTTTTTTTTTTAGGTTAGACAATATAGTTTGCTTAGAAAGTAAATTTGAGAGAGAAAGAAGAGATTCACCTCCCCAAGGGGTCAAAGCCAGGAAACATGGCCTGGCCACAGCTCAAAGAGCACATGGCCACGCCACAGCTTAGCAAGGCAATGGCCGCAATGGCCTGGCAATAGACCAAGCACCTTTTTAACTACTGAAAAATTAAGACTTCATTAGTACTTGGCCTGACCTGGGAACTAACAAGATATCTAACAAGACAACTGCAAACAACTGATGGACTGATTTTTTAAGACATAGAACCAAGTGAAATATTACTCCAAATTGTGTGGTGCCAGTGAATGTATTACCTAGTCACCAACAGCCATGCTCTTAGCTACTTGTTCAAAACTCTGACCACTTGCTTCAAGGATGGATCGGACCAGAAACTGCTGCTGTTTCATACACACAGTTAAAAGGCACTTGGTTCAACTTTCTTTAACAAGCAAATCTACCTGGCCCCATGTGGCAGGTCTAAATCTATAAGGAGATCCTATCCAAGCAGGAAAATAAATTAAAAGATGGTGGAGTCTGCTTACTGTGTCCAAGTTGGGGTTTCATTTGTTTTCTACATGATTAATTTGATTAAGGTTTTAGAAAATGATGTAATTTAGTTATGAAGACAGGGCCACCACATCTTATCTGTAATTCTGAAATCCAGAAAGCTCTGAAAGTCAATTACTTCCCCCAAAAAGTTTGGTTCAAAAACAATTTTTGTGGTAAAATCTGACTAGAATTAATATTGGACCATGTATATAGTCTTTAATGGCCCCAGTTGGGGGTGAATATTTATACATCTTTGTGTAGAAATATTAACATGCTTGATGAGTGCATTGTCCTAGGAGTCATATCACACGCAGTCTAAACATCATGCCCAGAAAGATCTGAGAATTCTGAATTCCAAAGCAAATCTGGTTCCAAAAAATTATTAATCTCTACAATATTAACTATATTAGATATTAGACCCACACTCCTCCCCAAGCTTTTGTCATTCCTCTGCCTAATTCACCATTTTTTCATATTTATACATAACCTATATTAATACATCTTTTAGTACTTATTCTCAGATGAACTCCCCTCTCAGATGAACTTATTTTTTATTTAAGACATAACTCTAATATTAAGAACTATCTCTGGCCGGGCGTGGTGGCTCATGCCTATAATCCCAGCACTTTGGGAGGTCAAGGTGAGAAGACTGCCTGAGCCTACAGGCTCGAGACCAGCCTGGGCAACTTGGTGAGACCTCATCTCTATAATAAATCAAAAAAAATTAGCCAAGTGTGGTGGTACGTGCCTGTAGTTTCAGCTACTTGGAAAACTGAGGTGGAAGGATCAACTGAGCCTAGCAGGTTGAGGCTGCGGTGGCCATGAGCATGCCTCTGCACTCCACCTGAGCAACAGAGTAAGACTCTGACTCAAAAAAAAAAGAACTATCTCATCCACCATGACCAAGTAGGCTTCATCCCTGGGATGAAGGGCAGGTTTAACATCCACAAGACCATAAATGTCATTAAATACATCAATAGATGTAAAAACAAGAACCACATGATTATATCATTAGATGCCGAAAAGGCTTTTGCTAAAATCCAGCATCTCTTCTTGATAGAAACCCTTGAGCTCCTAGGCATAGAAGGAACATACTTCAAAATAGTAAGTGCCATCCACAATAAACCCACAGCCAGCATATTGCTAAATGGAAAGAAACTGGAAACATTTCCCCTGAAAACTGGAACAAGACAAGGTTGCCCACTCTCACCCCTCCTGTTCAACGTTGTGGTGGAAGTCCTAGCAATAACAACTAGTCAAGAGAAAATCAAGGGTATCCAAATAGGAAAAGAAGAAGTTAATTTATCCCTCTTTGCTGATGATACGATCCTATACCTCGAAAATCTAAGAGAATCTGTCAACAACCTGCTTGCACTGATAAAGGACTTTGGCAAAGTCTCAGGGTACAAAATAAATGTGCAAAGGACAATCGCATCTTTTTTTTTTTTTTGAGTTGAAGTCTCACTCGGTCGCCCAGACTGGAGTGCAGTGCTGCTCCCGGCCGCCGCAGCCTCTCCCTGCTGGGCTCCGGCGATCCTTCCGCCTCACACTTCCAAGGAGCTGGAACTATAGACACACGCTACCATGCTCGGCTAATTTTTTTGATTTATTGTAGAGATGAGGTCTCGCCTGCCCAGGCGCGTCTTGAACCCGCGGGCTCAGGCAATCCACTCACCTCAGCCTCCCAAAGGCGTGGGATTACAGGCTGAGCCACCACTGAGCCCGGCGACAGTCACATTCTTATATACTACCAACAAACAGGCAGAGAACCAAATAAAAAGCACAATCCCATTCACAATAGCCACAAAAAAAAAAAAGAAAGAAAGAAAGAAAAAGAAAAAGAAATACCTCGGCACCTTCCTAATCAGAGAAGTGAAAGACCTTTACAATAAAAATGACAAAACACTGCTCATAGCAATCCAAGAAGACACAAACAAACGGAAAAATATTCCATGCTCATGGATAGGAAGAATCAACATTGTTAAGATGTCCATACTACCAAAGGCAACCTAAAGACTCAATGTAATACCCATTAAATTATCAACATCATTCTTCTCAGACCTAAAAATTACCTTACAGAAATTCATATGGAAACATAAATGACCACGAATATCCAAAACAATCCTTAGCAAAAGAAACAAAGCAGGTGGTATCACACTTACAGACTTTAAACTTTACTATAAGGCTACAATAATCAAAACAGCCTGACATTGGTACAAGAACAGGCATATGGACCAATAGAACAGGAAGCAAAGCCTCAATTTCTCAACCAACTCATCTTTGACAGCCTCCATAACAACCACTGGGAAAAGGAGAACCTATTCAGTAAGTGGTGCTGAGAAGACTGGCTGATCACATGCAGAAGATTGAAACAGGACCCCTACCTATCACCATAAACAAAAGTGGATCAAAGACCTAAATGTAAAACCTCAAACTATAAGAACCTTAGAAAATGCAAGCTATACCTTATAGGAATCGAAGTAGACAACCAATTCCTAACCAAAACCCCAGGTGTCCATGCCATAAGAGATAAGACAGTCAAGTGAGATAAGACAACCAATTCCTAATCAAAACCCCAGGTGTCCATGCCATAAGAGATAAGATAGTCAAACTGAAAAGCTTCTGCAAAGCAAAAGAAACCATCAAGAGAATGGGAAGACAGTTCACAG